GGCCCTTTGCCACCACCTTGTTCTCTGGATTCCTTTTCTCCTTCCTGGATCAAGTCCCAGCTGCTCCCTGCTAGTGCAGATGCACCTGTAAAAGCAGCAGACCAGGCCCAGCTGCTCAGGTCTCCGCCGCCCATGCAGGAGAGCAGACCAGGGTGGAGCTCTTGGCTCAGGCAGGGCTGCTGGGGCACTAGACGGAACGTCGCTCTCTGCTCGCTCTGTCACTTTCTCTTTCAAATAAGTAGAAAGAATAAATCCCTCCCTTGTTTTTCGGAAGAGAAGGGCAGGTGCGTGTGCTGTGTGGCGTCGGGTGCCGCATGGGCTGGCGATCGGCAGGAGCTGCCCCTCATGACCACGTGGTTTCCTGAGCTTTGGTCCTGCCCTCTGAAGTCCAGACAAAAGCTGTGGCTCTTCTCCCAGAAAACTTTCCTGTGCACATGCAGGCATAGCGGGTGTGTGCTCGGATCACTATAGGTTCCTTGGTGCCTTGGGGGCTTAGGGCAACGCCCGCTAGGAGTGCCGTCTCGAGAGGGTGTGAGAGCAGCCCACATAATGACTGGGGGAGTGGCCATGGGAAGCAGGCAGGCAGCCACGCAGGAAGCCGCGTGCAGGTTCACCAAGGTCGAGGTCGGGGAGGGCGGAATCCCCTAGCGAGCATCTGGGTGCTGAGGCGGGAGGCAAGGGTTCCAGGCCGGAGCCACCTATGGCTCCTGAGAGTTTGTGGTTGTAGGAACAGTGCTGGTGGAAGCGGAGTGGTGCTGGCTGCCCTGACTGGCTGCCCTGACCGTGAGGCTGGGCAGGTTGAAGGTGGTGCCTGGCACCTGCAGGCTGGATCCCGGCTCCTCTCCGGCCTCACGCCTGCCGTTTGCCCACTGCACTGTGTCTTCCCCGAATGCCAGGCTCCTTGGGGTTCCCAAACGTGTTGTACTCTAGGAATCTCAGTTGCCAGGGAGAGATCTAATTCAAAGATGCTTGATCCCAAACATGAGTTTGCTACTATCTGTTGCTAGACACTGGAGTTGGGCAAGGCAGGATTCAGAGGCTCACAGGACATTGTCAGGTCTGCCCTTGCCTCGCCTCCCTTCCTGGATGCTGGGATTTTACGTCTGTTTGAAAGGCAGAGAGAGCCAGATCATTCAGTTGCTGGTTTACTTCCCAGATGTCTGCAACAGACAGAACTGAGGCAGAATGAGCCAGGAGCCTGGAACTCCCTCTGGGTCCCCAGCTAAGCAGCCATCACCCGGTGCCAGGAAGCTGGACCACAAGTGGGACTGGGACTTGAACCCAGGCACTCTGGTATGGCGTGGCGGGGACCCCAAGTGCCCACTCTGATGGTACAATTCCTCTGCTCTCTTATTTCCTGCCGCGGGTAGTTCCATCTGATTTTAATACCACCTGGGTTAACAACTCCAGTCGGGGAGCTGTAAGGCCAGGGAAGACACTGATTGGGGTTGACTGGGTCACGTGCCCGTGCCTGGACCAGGCACAACACTGACTGGCATGGACGGGGTCACATGTCCACACTTGGACCAGTCACAGTGCCTGTGGTATGGACGGGCTCATGCGCCTGTCAGAACCAACGGGAGTCCACGGTTCATGAAAGGTGCATTTCCCAGAGGGAAAGCCAAGGTGAGGGCAAGAGGGTGCTGGGCCAGCAGGGACCACTGTCATCCATGCAGGTTGCACCCCGAATTTGAGTATAGTCCCTGGCTTCCTTCCAGAATGTTCTCCCTCCCCTTAGCCATTAGCAAGAGTCCCGTCCCCTCTGCTCCACTGCGTGCTCCTATTTGGAGACAAGTGGCAGCTGCACACTGCTCTCCCCGCTTGCTGCGGAGAGACAACTTAGGGGAGCAAGCGCAGCTGGCGGAGGTCTGGAGGTGTGTGATGGGCCTTGAAGAACTCCTTGTACCCCAGCTTGGCCCTGTCTCGTAGTGTCTGGGCTGCCCCACAGGATTCTGCTGCCCGGAAGCCCCGTGGAGCCGCACAGGCTACCTGCTGCAGGATGGCCCAGGCACTGGTGGACGGCCGCTCCACAACAGGCCGTGCTCTTTGACTAAGATCACGTCTCACTTGTGCGGAAGGCCCCATCTGCAGGTGTAATCAGCATGTACTCAATGCAAACCCGGTGTGTTCTACTCAAGCCCAACAATTCTTCCACCCCCTGGGCTGAGCACGTGGTCCCACAGGTGGGTGTGGACCCCGCCCCAGGCTGTGCTGGGAGCCGGGCTCATAGTGAGCCCTACGGAAGACCTCCCTGGGCGTGCAGGTCGGCAGGGCAATGGGCGAGAGTACCCAGCGGGCTGCTGAAGCACTGTGGAGGACCCCGAAAGCCTGTCGAGCTGGCCCACCTGCCCCCGGCCCCTCACAGTGCCACACGTCCCGGGGTGCAAGGGCTGCCGGAATGCGGAGTCGGCCGACAGAGTGCTGCACGTGGTGGCTCCCGTGCTCGTGTCTCGGCCGCAGTTGAGGTGAACCTGCTGGCCTGAGGCAGCAGTTTTGTGATGAGCAAAATGGTGGCAAGGGGTCAGTTTGGCATGTGGGCCGGGCCGCTGTTGGGACCCTGCGTCCCACCCTGGAGCCCTGGGGGACTTTGCTCCAGGCTCCGGCTTCCTCTTGACAAGGCCACTGTGATGGCACAAGCACTCCGGTCGTCACCCCCGACGGGGCCTGGAATCCCGGCTTCGGCCTGGCCCAACCCCCGCCAGTGTGGTATTGGAGGGTGACACAGCATATGGCAACCCGCTCGCTTTCCCTGTCTCTCAGGTAAGTAAAAGGTGGCAGCCATGCCAGCTTTGTTGGGTCGTGCAAGTGAGAGGTACAGTCTGGTTCATCTCCAGTTAGAGCTGGGGCTGAGGGGCATCAGCCGGCCCGAGCTCGCCCCGGGGAGGAGGCAGGTGGGCTGGTGACCAAGCAGCAGGTGCAAACTGTTCTACTGGAGCAGTCACACCAGGCGGCGGGATCAAGGCCGTAGTGGGCCCCAGCTGCCTGGAGTCCGTGGGCTTGCAAGTGCAGGAGGAGTGGAAACTCAGAGAAGCCTTGGGAACCTGCTCAGGCTCCCCAGGGCAGCCCAGGCTATTGGCCCATCTGCAGGCCGAAGAAAATACGCAGCTCCTGTGCTGACAGCGCTCACTCTGCCCTCTTTAGGGAGCATGTGGGCTCAGGACTCCTGGTTCCCTTTCAGAGTCAGGACAACGGAGGTGAGGCGGCTAGCTGGCATTCCCACTCACAGTGATCACCACGGATGTTTACGGAGCGGTGCTCTGCCCTCATAAAGAACGGCAGCGTTTATGGGGGCTGTATGCTTTCCAAGGCCTCCTGGAAGGCTGTGTGCTCAGCCCAAGCTGTGCAGGACGAGCTGGAAGTGGTGGGGGAGGCGCCTGCCCCTTGACGAACTGGAGGGGGAAGGCCCCTGCCCCGGGACGAGCTGGAGGGGGAGCCTGTCCTCTGGGACGAACTGGAGGGGGAAGGCCCCTGCCCCGGGACGAGCTGGAGGGGGAGTTCCCTGCCCCTGGACGAGCTGGAGGGGGAGGCCTGTCCTCTGGGACGAGCTGGAGGGGGAGGCCTGTCCTCTGGGACGAGCTGGAGAAGGAAGACCCCTGCCCTGGGACGAGCTGGAGATGGAGAGGGGAGGCCCCTGCCCCTGGACGAGCTGGAGATGGAGAGGGGAGGCCCCTGCCCCTGGACGAGCTGGAGATGGAGAGGGGAGGCCCCTGTCCCTGGACGAGCTGGAGGGGGGAGGCCCCTGCCCCTGGACGAGCTGGAGGGGGAGGCCTGTCCTCTGGGACGAGCTGGAGGGGGAGGCCCCTGCCCCTGGACGAGCTGGAGGGGGAGGCCTGTCCTCTGGGACGAGCTGGAGGGGGAGGCCCCTGCCCCGGGATGAGCTGGAGATGGAGAGGGGAGGCCCCTGCCCCGGGACGAGCTGGAGGGGGAGGCCTGTCCTCTGGGACGAGCTGGAGGGGGAGGCCCCTGCCCCTGGACGAGCTGGAGATGGAGAGGGGGGCCCCTGCCCCAGGATGCATAAGGCCCCAGCCGGACCCAGCTGTACTTGGAAGCATCTGGATTAAACGCTTTGCACATGGGTAAACCAAGGTACTGTTGACAGAAGTCTGACCGTGGCCACGTGAGGTGCTGTGGTGGGGGTCCGTGGCGTGGTACAACCTGCGACTGACTTCTGAGAGGGTTAAAGAGAAAAGTGTGGGTAGGTCCCAGGGTGGCGGCCATGGGGCCGTCTTCACCCTGCCCTCTGCCCACTTACCACCTGGTGTCTCACTCCAGGCAGCTGAGCCGCGTGTGGGTGGAAAGTGGTTTCACTTACATTTGTCTTTGATGTTTGTACGTGGCTTTGGGGGTACCAGTCGGAAGGTGTCCGACACGTGCTCACACACATCCGAATGCTCACACATGCCGGTTGGGGACTGCTGACTGAGCTTTCAGAAATGTTTCCAGCTGTTCTTACCAGACTAGTGTTAGGACCCAGGAAGGACCCAGCAGCAGGGCAGGACAGGAACTGAACGCCCAAAGTTTGAGCAGAGTCAGTGCTATCTTCATCACTCCTCTTCACCCGCGCTGGGCCTGAGCCGAGGGGCTGGGGTGGGGGCCCCAGCGCACAGCACCGCCCGCCCGCCAGGCGGACTTCTCTTCCCACTTGAGGACCGAGGGTAAAGTCCAGCTGCAGCCCTGGACTGGGACCAGCAAAGGCTCTGGGAAGGCGGCGACCTTGGGGCGCACACCCTGCTGCTTGGCACTCACTGGGGGCTGCAGTCCGACCCTCTCCCATCTGGACCGGGTTTCTCCTCCCTGCATTCCGTGGCTGCCATGTGCTCGTTGATCACCAAGGAATTCAAAGTCTGCAGACAAGGAAGCAACACCCACTGAGGCTCCCTCCCCGCAGCGGCTGGGAGCTGCGCTGGCTGGAGGGAAGCAGAGTCCCACACCGCCAGGAGAGGACACATCCCCCCACCACCCCAGGGCTCCCGCGTCCCCTGCCGTCCCCTGCCGGAGCCATGAAGGAGCAACTGCCTCTGAGCTGTTGGCTGTCTTTGGTTCTCTGCAGCCTTCAGGTACCAAGCTGGGGTGGGGTGTCTCCGAAGTGGGGTGGGCCATCCCCCAGCTGTGTCTCACAGTGGGCTCTTCTGTGTGCAGGTGCGTGGAGTCGACTCTAGGTTCCAGGATCACCGAGGTAAGGGCTCCCTTCGTGCGCTCCTTGCGGGCTGGCTGCGGGCTGCTGGTCTCAGCCGGGCTGGCAGATGCGCTTGGTTTGCTCCAGATCTCACTGCTGTCCCCCGCCGCTCTGCTGCTCCTTGACAGCCGGGGTGGGAGGAGGTGGGAAGCTGGTCCTGGGTCGCATGTGATCCTAAGCCAGTGTCCTGCAGTGCTCGCTCTTCCTTGACTCCCTTCCTGTGTCCTTGGTTCAAGTGCTTGCCCCTCGCAGGCTCTGCGTGGGAGGGTTTCTCCTCCATGCCCTTCTTGGTTAAACTGTTATTAATTTATTTGGAAGGAGGCAATTACAGAGCGAGTCTGTCTGCTGGTTCATTCCTCAAATGGCTTCAGTGGCCAGGACTGGGCAGGCAGAAGGCAGGAGCCCGGAGCTTCACTGTTGCTCATGAGGATGGTGGAAGCCCAAGGCCTCGGGCCGGAGCTGGATTGGAAAGTGGAGCAGCCGGGACTCGAACTCATGTCCGTATGGGATGTGGGCTTAGTGGCGGAAGGCTTTACTTGCTACACTGTGGTGCTGCGTCTGAGTCTCTTCTCTTGCCCCCGTGGCCGCTCAGCATGGCAGTGCCAGGTCGAGGTGCCTCGCTGGCTGCTGTGTGTGGTGCACACCTGGCTGCTGGGAGCCGGGTGGGAAAGGGGTGTCCGAAATAGAGCAGTTGCTGTTGCTGTGGGCCCATGGGGGTGAACAGACCTCAGTGGGGGGCTGGCCTGGTCTGGGGACCTGGCTGCTGATGAAGGACTCGGGATGGGGCGGGTTCCAGGCAGGTCTTCCCAGCAGCCATGCCCACCTGTCATGGGCTCAACCTTCAGGTGCTGTGGGTCCTGGCGCATATGCATAGCCATGTATAGGGATCAACTGAGAGCCCAGCTGCCCTCGTCCAACTGCTAAGACCTCTGAGAACACTGCTCTGATGCTGTGGTGTTGGTAATGCCATGTGGGGGACTGGTGCTCCCCACAGGAGTGGGAGTGCTCAGTGCGAGTTCACCCGTGCCCTCTGCCGGGTGCTCCCCACGGGAGTGGGAGTGCTCAGTGCGAGTTCACCCGTGCCCTCTGCCGGGTGCTCCCCACGGGAGTGGGAGTGCTCAGTGCGAGTTCACCCGTGCCCTCTGCTGGGTGCTAGCGCTCATGTACTGTGTTAACACTTCCGTGCTGTAGTGTTAGTGTCTTCATGGTGTCATGTTCTAATGCTACGAGAGTATTAATATTCCAAGTGTCCTTCAGCCCGCCTGCTCCCAGCCGGCTGGTGAGGTTGGGGCTGACCGGCGGGGGGCTCTCAGTTTGAAGCGAGGACTGCTGAGAGCTTGGCTGCGTGGTGAGCAGAGATGCAGAGGTGTGCAATTCTGAAGGGTCTCCCGTGTGGGACAGGTCTCCCTGGTCCCTCCTCAAAGGCACTGCGTGTTCCCTGTCTTCTCCACGCCCCTGTCCTGAGCCACCCCGAAACAGGTGCTAGAGATCCATGCAGACCCAAGGGCATGGGCTGCGTAGGCCTCGGCAGCACCGGGCAGCATGCGTGACTTCCACTCTCAGGAGGCTTGCCCGGCTCCTGTTATCCGATTGTCTGTCTGCAGGAATCCAGGTGAGCTGACAGCTGCCAGGCCTGTATCTCTGAATAATCTCTTTGGTAAAGACTGGCAGAGCGGAAGTCGGCTCCCTCATGGGTGCTAGCCTGTTGTCTGTGGGACTCTGGTTCTGGAATTTCAGAGCATGCGTGAGTGCTGGGGACTTAGCCCTGCTTCCCAGTGGATAGGGAACTGAGGAGTGACGGCAGCAAGGGGCCCGGGGCCTCGCAGCTGAGGCCTCTTCCTGCTGCTCACCTCTGTCCTGCAGTCCCCTGGAGCTCCAGCTGTGACATTGCAGGCTCTCTTAGAGCTTATTTGGACTGAGCAGGCACAAGAGCCCAACCCTACCATTAGCCCAGCTTCCCGGCTGGGGCTGTGCAGCCGCTGGCCTGGGTCCCTGGCCCCGGGGGGGGGGGGTGTTGGGGAGGCAAAGCAGGAATTACAGTAATTGTCGCCCTTCGGGTTGACACAGTGGCACATGGCGTGGGAGAGGCCAGCCGGGCACCACAGAGCTTCATTTCTTGTCTTTTGGGCATAGAATGTGTTTCCCAGGGGTTTTCAGAACCAGTGAGAAGCCCTGGGGAGCAGGTAGAAATTTGGCAGTCAGCTTTTGATTCTAGGCCATGTACACTATGCATTTGTTTATCTATCCTTGCATTGTAGCCTTCACTCTGTGGCTGTCTCCTTCAGCCGCTAGTCTTAAACTTTGGGGAAATGTCAAGTCTGGGCACTAGGCGACAGTCCTCCTGGAGTTCCAACAAGTGCAGTATATTTCAATTTCTGACACGTGCCTCCCCTCCTGCCCCCAGGCTGTTTCTGACTCAGGGGAGAAGTGTAAAGAGAACAGATAATATCTCTACATTCAGACAGGCCAATCATACACACTAACAGAACATCAGGCAATGGTGGGGTACAGGAAGAAACGTCTCGTGGCAATGGGGGAGAGGGTGGTCAGGGAGGCCTGGGGAGGGGCGTATGGGTGACGGGGACGGGCGTATGGGTGACGGGGGGGTGTATGGGTGACGGGGGGGGGTGTATGGGTGACGGGGGGGGGTGTATGGGTGACGGGGAGGGGTGTATGGGTGACGGGGAGGGGTGTATGGGTGACGGGGGGGGTATGGGTGACGGGGAGGGGGGTATGGGTGACGGGGAGGGGGGTATGGGTGACGGGGAGGGGGGTATGGGTGACGGGGAGGGGGGTATGGGTGACGGGGAGGGGGGTATGGGTGACGGGGAGGGGGGTATGGGTGACGGGGGGGTGTATGGGTGACGGGGAGGGGTCAGGAGGCCTGGGGAAGCGTCCAGCCAGGCCAGCCCTGGGTGTCTCCTTGGGTGGGTCCCACACGGCCCTGGGATGCTCAGTGTCTGAGGGGCGTGAACAAGTGTCCCCCCAGCACTACCCAGATGCTTCCTGGACTTGCCTGCCCGACCTCATCACTAGCTCACCCCCGGGACTGACCTGGTGCTGGTGGCCATGGGAGGCCTTGGGCATTCCGCATGTGGACGCCCGTTCAGATGTAGTGCCTGGGAAGCGAGGCAGCAGGCAGATCCTGGCTCGTGCTGGGCAGGTGCCTGAGATGCACTTGACCCATGATCCCTTCTGCCCAGGGCCGGGAAGGCGGGAGGGACGCTCACTGTCCACAGGGCTGGCTGCGTGAAGACGAGCATTCTAAGTGATAACATCTGTTCTTTGTGTAGCAGATGTCATTTCCTGTCCCTGTCTTTCCCCAGATGAACTGATGAGGAGTTCCTGTCGTGAAAGTGAGCCGCCTAGGGTTTGGGGAAGAAGCTTGAACAAATTGAGCGGGTGTGGGTTTTAGCAGCGAGCTCACACCATTCTGGGCCTGCTGGGGACAGGTGGTCCTCTAGGTGCCCCCTGAGCTTACATGCCACACCCAGCTTTGTCCCGGGCTCACATTCTCAGCTCGTGGGTTCTGGACCATGCAGATGTTGGGCAGCTAGTGGACAAAGGTGCGGCCCCTGGAGTCTTTGGGGTGGACACCACCTGTGATCCTCAGAGATTTTTTGAGGGAATGCAGCTCCAGAGATGCCAACGGGATAAAAACATTGCATGTGAATTGTCCTACGGCTTACCAACCACACCCTCAATTTCCTCACCCACTCAGTATGCCGGAGTTGGTTTCTTGAATATCCGAACACCTGTGCGTTACACAACTTGTTCATAGTAAACATGGCCTTCGAATTTTGACTTGTTAAACTGAGAGCTCCCATCTGCTGGTCTCCCTGCCCAGCGCCTGCAGCTGGCAGGACTGGAGCCCATGCTGGGAGCCCAGACTCTGTCACTCCTGCCTCCAGGGTGCCCCCAGCAGGGGGCTGACTAACTGGGGGCTGCCTGTAGTGTGGCACACCCATGTCAGATGCCGTCATCTTGTTTATGCTCACAGTTTTATAATAATATATCTCTTTTGAGGCAGAGAAATATGGAGACAGAGGGAGAAATCTCCCATCCGCTGGTTTATTCCCTAAATGCCCACTAACTCAAAGGCTAGGCTAGGTGGGAGCTGGGAACTCTTGCTGTATCTCCCATGTAGGGGAGCAGGTAGAGCTGAGCTCACAAGCCGTGCCCCACCCACGGGTGCTCTGTGCTACCTGGTCACTCATGCTTGTCTACATGTTAGGAGAATCAGCCCTCAGGACATCTACGCACAGCCCCAGTTCAGGCGGAGGGCCGTGGGGTCTCCAGATGCGGCTGTGCGCGTCTCGGGGCAGGTCGGAGCTCTTTGGGGAGCAGCTCTGGGGCAGCTGCCCCATGGCGTTCTGGGCTTTTCTGCAGGATCTTGTCGGGATCTCCATTCTTTGCCCTTGAACGTGTCCTCTCTGATGCTGCGTTTGTAAATGAGACTTTTCTTCTGCTTGTAAAGTGCGGCTGCTGGCTCGCGGGAGGCGCGGTCGTTGTGCTCAGCTCCCGTCTGGACCTTGCGCTCTGTTCGTATCAGCGCTGGCCAGCCCTGCTGTTTCTCGGAAGAACTCTTGTACATTCTTCGCTTATTTGTCATCGTTTTCACTTTGGTCGTGAGGCATACGTCATCTAAAAATAATCATATTATCTCCTCAGAGTATGTTACGATGCACACCGTGCAGCCTTATTAACGTCTGCTTGTCTCTGATTAGCAGGCACTTGGGCAGCAGATTCTGACTTGGTCATCGGGCCATTATTCTCGCTTCGGGGACGTTGTGAGCACAGGGGCTGCCCCAGGAGAGGATGAAGTCCTGGGCCAGGGTCGCCTGTGAGAGTGACAGGAAGCTGCCGAGGGCCTGCTTGGGCGCAGGTGGCACCGAGCGGCCGCGCGAGGCACAGAAGCCGACGGGTGCTGGAAAGAGCAGAAAATAACGCATGTGCACTGCGTTGTCTCCCCAGCACAAGGCTGTCTTGGGCATTTTGAAGCAAAGGACACAGGGAAAACAGAGGCTCGTGTGCAAGCTGTGCAGCTAGCGTTCGCCAGCTGTGGGGTTTGAGCAAGTGTCTTAGTCTGTCTCCACGAGGAGCCTTGGGATGGTCTGCCAAATGCCGGTTAGTTTGAACGAGGGAGTATTTGTGAAGCACTGAGAATGGAGTTTGGTTTGTCTCTCAAAAGAGTTTTTAGCTTGACTTCTTGCTGGCTTTGATGCCTCAGATACCACCCGGGAGCCGAGTTGGCTGACCGGAACGAGGGAATTCCTGTCTTCCTCCCAGAAGCAGCTCAGTTGAGCCCCGAGCTGTGGCTTCCACGTGGGCAGGGCGCTGTCTGTCCTGCGAGTGCACGGGCTGCGTTTGCCAGCGTCTTCCCTGCTGTCCCGGTCGCCTTCGCTGGCCGCTCGCTCCAAGCCTGCCACGTTCGGCACCTTCTCTGCTCTTCTCTCCCTGACCGTGACCTTACGTCTTTCTTGCATTTTCTTTCCCCAAGGGTTTGAGTTCTTGGCCTCTGTTTCTCATTACTGGCCACTGGAAAGTGTGGATGGAATCCATGAACTTCAGGACACAGCTGGAGGTAGGGCGAGGGGCTGCAGAGGGCAAGGGCGAGGGCTGCGGAGGGCGAGGGCTGCGGGGGGCGAGGGCCAGGAGCTCCATCTAGGTCTCCCTGCTGGGTGCTGGGTGGCTTTCCCGGGTGACCAAGGACCTATGTTCTCCGATGAGCTCAGCCCCCGCTGGCTGCCTGTGGACAGCAGTGGCCCTTATTAGCCTGAACCATCCAGTCTGTGCTGTGGGGTGTCAACTACCCTGAGCAAGTGAATTTTAAAAAGCCACTTCCTTGTTCTTGTCTTGCTTCCTGTTCTCGGAGCCCTGTCTGCCGGCCCCTGGAAGGGGATGGGGTTTAACCGGGGGAACCGCTGTGTGTAAACACAGTTCCTCCCGCGGGCTGCCAGGTGCTCGGTGCTGGGGAAGCACAGTGGCTTGGAGCCACCCTGGCCACGCACTTCACTCGGTGTCATTGTCTGCTGTGTCTGCCATGTGCTTGTGCACCACTTGTCCACCGCGTTTGTCTCGGCAGTCCTGGCAACGCCACCACCATTAACCCTCTTGTCCCTGTTTTATAAATGGCCAGTGTCGACTTCATATCTCTCGGCTAAGTGTCCATGTGGGAGTCGGTGCCAGCCTGTCCCGTGCAGCTGTGGAGTTGACGGGTCCGTGGGTGTGGGTCACGCGCTGCCGGGGTGGATGGCGGGGGAGAGACGTGTCCGGGAGTCCTGGCCGCCAGCAGCTCCTCCGGGGCTGCACCGGTTGAGATGTGGGTTCTGCTTCTTGTCTCACGTGTGTGCCTTTTGTCTCACTCAGCGCTGCGGGCCCACATCCTCACTGTGCTTGCTCCCCATAACTCTACCCTTGTCTGTACCAATGAGTCTGCCTACTCCAACCTCTCTGCGACTGTAGGTGAGCACGTACGTACGTCATCCCGTGTTGTGTGCACTGTGTGTCTGACGAGTGTAGACGTTGCTCGGTCGGGCCCCGGGCCAAGTCGCTCTGCCTCCGCTCCGAGTGAGCCAACGTGCAGCTCTGGGCAGCAGAGCGGAGCCAGGGTGGCCAGCGCGAGCGTGCAGGCCTGGCCACAGGGAGCGCCCCAGCTCAGCGTCCGCAGGCGGGTGGCGACATTCTCCGGGCGGCCAGGATCTTCCAGTCAACCACTTGTTTTCATGACAAGACACATGGAGTCTGTTCTAGAAATAGACATGGCAGGGAGTTTTAAGCAGATTAGTCTGTGTGGGGAGTACAATGTGCGCTTCCATGGCGGCGACGATGCCTTGTCAAAATCTGATCTCGTGCAACGGGCGCTACTCCCGAAGTGTAATCGGTTAACATGGTGCACGCCCAGCCAGCGTCTTGCCGAGCAGCCTCTGGCCACTGTGGTCTAGTTTCCAGGGTAGCTCTGAGCTAGAGGGAGGGGAAGCCAGTTTGGACCATGAGGTCTCCCCTGCCTGTCTTTATTGTCTGTGGGGTAATTGTTCCTTTCCGGGAGGTGCTTGGCTCCACAGCGTGACTGTACCAACCAGCCCGACTTAGTTAGGCCTCCCTTAGGCCAATGGGCAACCCTGAGTTACGGGTCTCCCCAGCAGCAGGCAGGCAAGGCAGTGAATAATGGGGTACATAAGAGACACAGCCAGGAGCCCCATGCCCCCGGCGCCTGGGCTGAACCAATGCTGAGGGCCTGTCACGCTGGACATGGTGCCCTTCCGTCTCTGTTCTGAGAACTGCTGGCCTCCTTCACCGTCAAGTGTGGCAGCACCTGTGACCTGGCCCTGGCTGCTGGGTCTCGTGCTGGGCAGGCTCTGCTGGGGCCCCGTCCTGGGCTGAGAGGGCTCCACAGGAAGTGCAGGTGGGCCGGCATGGGAAGGAGCTGGCAGTGGCTGGCAGATGGCAGGTCATCGCACAGCCCTGCTGCTGGCAGTCCCCATTCCACGGGGTGGACGCGGGCAGTGGAGGATGGCCCACCAGCACTGTGAGGACATGTGCCACACTGACAGACGGGATCTCAGTGACTTACGACCCAACGCTTAGGCCTGTAATTCCTTCCAGCGTACTGCTTAGCAGTCATGCAAACGGGCGTTCCCAGTGTTCTGTCACGCTGGAGCTGAGGCCGTCTGCTTGCCCCTGACGTGCTCGTGGGCTTTGGAGAGCCTGTCTTCCGGCTCGTTCACGTGTGCGCTTTCCTTGCTCAGACATCCTGGAGGGGAAGATTAACAAAGGCATTTACGTCAGAGAGAAGAAGGGCATCACGCTGCTCTACCACGAGCAGTACCGGGCCTCTTGCCTCAGCGACCCAGCGCGCTGTGGCCCCGACGGTGAGTGTGTGCATGTCCGAGCCAGGCGGCCCCTGCCCTCGGCCGCCGAACATGGGTGTGAGAGCTCTCCTTTGAGCAGGAGGGGCCGAGATGCTTGTCCTGCAGGCTCGTCAGGACAGGGCCAGAGACCGAGCGACCTGCTCTGTGAAAGCCGTCCTCACCAGGTCAGCGTCGTGATGGCCCGTGGATGTGGACAGCACTTGGAGTCGGGGCAGGGAACTGATGGGGGGTCTCTTTCCGTGTTCTTACTGGCTATGTGGGTGCTGCTGGTATTTGCTTTCTTGGCTAATGGTGTGATTATCTGAATTCCCAGTAGTGACTGAGTGTTTGGGCCCGGTGCGGTGGCCTAGCAGCTAAAGTCCTCACCTTAAATGCGCCAGGATCCCATATGGGTGCTGGTTCTAATCCCAGCTCCTCCACTTCTCATCCAGCTCCCTGCTTGTGGCCTGGGAAAGCAGTGGAGGACGGCCCAAAGCCTTGGGACCCTGCACCTGCTTGGGAGGCCCGGAAGAGGCTCCTGGCTCCTGGCTTTGGATTGGTTCAGCTCCAGCCATTGTGGTCACTTGGGGAGTGAAGCATTGGACAGATCTTCCTCTCTCTCTCCTCCTCTCTGTATATCTGACTTTGCAATAAAAGCAAAATAAATCTTTAAAGAAGAATGATTGGTTCTGCATTTTAGCCTCTTTTGCTGGAAGATTCATTATTTGGAAGTCAGAGTTAGAGAGAGGTCCATCTGTTGGTCCTCACTCCAGGTGGCAGGGCTGGTGGGGAGCCAGGAGCTCCTTCGGGGCTCTGCGTGGGGGCATCTTGCCCCTTCTCTCTGCAGGGGGCTGGGCTGCCAGCGCGCCCCTTTGGGGTGCCAGCGTCACAGGGCTGCCTTTACCCCCGCACTGCAGCGCCAGCCCCAGTCGCAGGCTCTTGCAGCCCCTCTGAGGGCTTTAACTGCAGGCGTGTGGCGCTTGATGGGAAGGAGGCAGCCGTGTGGGAGACCGGCCAGGTGGAGCCTGCCACAGGGGCTGCTGCCGGCCAGCCCGCGGCCACCTCGTGCCTTATCGCTGTGGTTTGACTTGGTTCTAGCAATTTCTTTCTTTTCACTTGGTCTTGCAGATGGCCGCTGTCCCCCTGCATGCAGTGTGAGGTCTGGGTTCTTGTTGACCTTGCTGTCTTGTTTCTCCCTTTGTAGATCAGATCGGCTTGTCAGTTTTGTGCTTGTCTCTTGTGAGAGCGCAGGGTGCAGCCAGGCGCCTCCCGTGCTTGCCTTCCCTGGCTTACCCGCACAGCACCAACGCTGGGATTTGCGTTTTCCTCTTGAACAGAAAACTGTTTGGCTGAGGCGGGACCCGTTTTCAACAGCATGACAGGAGTTTCCAAATGTAGCAGAAAAAACCCGACTCCCATGGTTCCCCCTGGGGATTCGTTTCGTAACAAGTTTAACAATGTGCCAAACTTACCTCTGCAGGCAGGAAGGCTTGAGGGCTGAGCTGCCCGGGGAGGAGCCTCGGAGCCCCTCCTAGTACCAGGGGCTCGCGTGGGGCAGGGGCCCAGGCTCCCGTGGGGCAGGGGCTCACCATCACCGTGGGGCAGGGCCTCGCCGTGGGGCAGGGGCCCACCATCACCGTGGGGCAGGGGCCCACCATCACCGTGGGGCAGGCGCCCAGGCTCCCGTGGGGCAGGGGCCCACCATCACCGTGGGGCAGGGCCTCGCCGTGGGGCAGGGGCCCACCATCACCGTGGGGCAGGGGCCCACCATCACCGTGGGGCAGGGGCCCGGGCTCCAGCGGGGCTCTCCCCTTACAACTTGGGGTTCTGTGCTGCCTCCTGGGTCCAGCCCATCCAGTGAGGTTCCTCTTGTGCTGGACAACCGGTGGAGGGGTCCAGTGATGCCCCTTTTCCGTGTTCTGGGTGAGTCTTGCTTGGGCTTTGAGCCCACAGAGGTGTCCCCTCGTGCTGGCTGGTGACCTGGAGAGGAGGTGGGGACATGGTGAGGTTCTTGTTCAGCGGCTGGGGCTGTGCCCGTAATCCCCGGGGGTGAGGCCAGAGTCTCCATCTGACACCATTTGCACCTGTAAGGTGCAGGGCAGCTGTCGGCTTTGCCCTGCACCCATCCCCACCCCAGTTGGTTCCGGTCAGCTCCCTGTGGGGCTGGGCCTCTGCCAGCAGGAGGTGTGGGAGGGGGTGATGATTCCGGCAGGACTGGGGTGGTCCCAGTCTGTGCTCTGTGAGCTCAAGAAGGTGAGAGAGGAAGGTGAGCACCGGCCAGGGGTGGGGGCGACATGGCTGACCCTGCCCCTGCCTGTCCAGGGGTCACCTTCTCCTTCTTCTGGAAGACGTGGAGAGAGCAGTCGAGGCCCACGCCGCCAGCCTATGGGGGACAGGTCGTCTCCAGTGGCTTCCGGATCCGTTCCAGAGGTGGTCAGGGCTCTGTGGAGCTGTACACGCGGGACAACTCCATGACGTGGGCGGCCACCTTCAGCCCGCCAGGTAAGTGACGGCGTCCCCAACCCAGGTCAGGGGCAGATAGAGCGGAAGTGCTTCTCTGCACGGGATGGCTGCACCGTCACCCCAGCCCCGGCAGGCAGGCCGTGAGGTGGGGCCGCTTTCGTGGGAGTCCCACTTGTTAGCACTCATGTCCGCATCAAGGAGGGAGATGGTAACAGCCAGGGCCGGGAACTCTGCCCGGGGCTCTCCTGAGTGGCAGGAGCCCCAGCCACTGTCACAAAGCAGGAAGCTGGGGGTGGGCTTTGAGCCCAGGCACTGGGCACGCCTGCCCCTCAGCACAGCTGAGATGTGCAGTGAAGCCAACAGCAAGGTTTCTGGCAGCTCCTGCCCTAGCGCATGCCCAGCTCGCCTGCTGTCAGCGTCCGTCCAGCGGTGCTGTTCTGGGGGCAGGAACCACATGGGCATGCTGTCGCCCTTGGTCCATGGTGCCCGCTGGCACAGTGCAGGGTGTGCTGTTGTCTCCCTCGGTCCGTGCTGCCCGCTGGCACAGTGCTGGGTGTGCTGTTGTTGCCCTCAGTCCGTGGTGCCCATTGGCACAGCGCTGGGTGTGCTGCCCATGGTGCCCGCTGGCATAGCGCTGGGTGCACTGCCCGTGGTGCCCGCTGGCATAGCGCTGGGTGTGCTGCCCGTGGTGCCCGCTGGCACAGTGCTGGGTGTGCTGCCCGTGGTGCCTGCTGGCACAGCGCAGGGTGTGCTGCCCGTGGTGCCCACTGGCACAGCACTGGATGCGCTGCCCATGGTGCCCGCTGGCATAGCGCTGGGTGCACTGCCCGTGGTGCCCGCTGGCACAGCACTGGGTGTGCTGCCCGTGGTGCCCGCTGGCACAGCGCTGGGTGTGCTGTTGTCGCCCTTGGTCTGTGGTGCCCACTGGCACAGCGCAGGGTGTGCTGCCCATGGTGCCCATTGGCACAGCGCTGGGTGTGCTGCCCATGGTGCCCGTTGGCACAGCGCTGGGTGTGCTGCCCGTGGTGCCCGCTGGCACAGCGCTGGGTGTGGTGCCCGTGGTGCCTGCTGGCACAGCGCTGGGTGCGCTGCCCGTGGTGCCTGCTGGCACAGCGCTGGCTCAGTGTGCTAGTTGTGAGAATGTCTGCTATTGTGATGCAGTTTGTTTCAGATATCATTTTTTCTCTGTTAAAGGTTTATTTTATTTGAGAGGCAGAGTTACAGAAAGGCCCCCACCTTCCAGTTTATTCCCCAGTGGCTGCAATGCCAGGCCCAGACTAGGAGCTGCGTCCAGGTCTCCCATGTGGGCGGTCTTTCCGTGCCTGTACCATGCTGTTCGGATTATGGTAGCTTAGCAATGAAGCTTAGAGTCGGGGCATGTGACACTGCAGATCACACTGGCCACTTGAGGTCACACGTGTTAGGAGTGTTTTGGGCTCTGCTTTGGGTTTTGAGATGGGTGGTAAGGTCACTTTGAGCGGGACGTCCCTGCCCTATGCTGCCCTAAGAACATGGGACTTTTTCCGTTTTCTTTGTCCCCTTCAAGTTCTTTCATCCACAGTTTATAGCTTAAACTGTGGACCTCTTTCTCTGGTTATATGTATTCTCAGTTTTAAACCTTCGAACTGCGCGTGTTTATTCCTGGGACGTGGGGAAGCGGCCGTGCTGCTGCGTGTTCTTGCTGTGGCTGTGTGACTCCCAGGGTTTTTCTTTGGTGTCTTCTGGGTTATGCACGTTCCTGTGACGTGGCGAGGGCCGTCTCCGCTCTGGCCATGCTGCTTCCGGCAAGCTCCTGGCCTAATTGGCTGCTGCCCGGGCTGCTCCCCCGTGGTACTGGGCATCTGTGTGTGTGATTCCTGTATTTAGTATCAAGGGGTTTCTAGAACTGCTTTTGGAATCTCTGGGCAAAGGTGGGGACAAAGGTGGTTTCTTTCTAGGGTCCCCAGAAAAGTCGGGCTGCGGGATGTCCAGCATCAGGACTCGCCAGCTCACAGTGGGCCCCCACTCAGGAAGATGAGCATGCGTGGGACCCAGGCAGCCATGTGTGGGCAGTGCAACCTCACCCTCTCTGTGATGTCTCATCTCTGCCAGGTCCTTACTGGACTCATGTGCTGTTCACCTGGAAGTCCAAGGAGGGGCTAAGGGTGTACGTCAACGGGACGCTGAGCACCTCAGACCCCCAGGGCAAAGTGTCTTACACTTATGGGGAGCCCGGTGGGCACCTGGTGCTCGGCTCCAAGCAGGACCAGACCCAGCACTACGAGAGCGGTGCCTTTGATGAGTTCATCATCTGGGAGCGGGCCCTGACTCCTGACGAGATCGCCCTGTACTTCATGGCTGCTGTTGGTAAGTGAGTGGACGGTGAGCAGGCCAGGTGCCTGGGCCCGGGGCTCCTTGCCTGCCTTCCCAGCATGCTCTTCTGTGTGTGTGGGGGGTGCCTAAAGGCCAGCACAGCTGTGGTTGGAGCACCCTTGTGGGCCTGGGGCCTTGGCAGTGGGGGGCTTGCAGAGGTTTCATTGAGTGGGTTGTCTGGACCCAGGCCACAGTCCCCGTGCACCTGCCAGGGCCAGGTTCCCTGACGGGCCCTGGGGGAGCCAGTCCCTGGACACCTTCCTCTCTTCTGGCTTGACTAACCCTTCCGAGCAGGGCTGGGGGCTAGCTTCAAAGGAATCTTGAGACAATGGGTGGAATGAGTGCACCTCAGGCTGAAGCTTTGGGATGGAGCGGTGGGGCAGTGCACAGCAGAGGTACGGGGAGGGCAAGACCTCTCCAGATGATTGTAGCGTCTCGGGCATGTCCGAGCTGCCATCAGGAGCCGGGAGCTTCCTCTGGGCTGGCCACGTGGGTGCCGGGGCCTGAGCACTCGGGCCAGCTCCTGCTGTGGTCCTGGACACGTTAACAGGGAGTCAGACCCGAAGTGGAACAGCTGGGACTAGAACCTTTCCTTCAGAGCAGGACAGGAAAGCCCACATCTTTTAGAACTGGAATTCCGACCATGTTCCAGTGCACAGCACTTGGCAAGTCATCCTTGGCATTCTGCTGGAAGCCCAGTTTGCTAAACATGCCTTCCCCGGGGTCCACCGAGGTGGTGGCCTGGGGGAGAGGAGCCGGCATTTCCAGTTCTTGGAGTTGGCACAGGAAGCTGCTGTCCTTGGGGTATTTTGGCTCAGTTTCTGACCTTCACTGTTGGTGAAGGTGACACCCCAGTGCTTTGGGCAGACCCCAGAGGTGTCCGTGAACTCCTGGAGGGTCCCCGGAAAAGCCCTGTGTCCCATGGTGATTGGGTTCTGAAGGTCGAGGTGAGGTGAGAATTCCTAGGACCCCTGGGGCCCCGGTGTGCCAAGAAAGTGGGAGCTGGGCAGCTGGGCGGGCTGGCCACGGTTGTCCCGCACTCCACGGGATTTCATTCCTTTAGCCTGAGCACCCACTCCTGCTCCAAGGAGCACCCTGCCCTCCACGGGGTGTTATTCGATCCCATCAGCCTGAGAAGTTGCCTTTTCTGATCAGCCTGTTAGCGACCCGAATGCTGATCCCTGCTGCTCTGACAGACCCCTGGCCCTGCTGGAAGGTGCCGTGGCTCCTGCTGCAGAGTACCAGAAGCCAGCAGCGGGCTGAGCTGAGGCCTGTGAAGGGAGATCCAGTGTCTGCCCATACCAGGAGTGTTGTCTCCATGCTGGGTGCCTGTGCAGCTGAGTCACAGGGGACACGGGGTCACATGGGCACCCAGGGGTGAGCATCACTGACATGGAGCCCAAGGTGGTCTCCTGCACCTGCCACTGCCAGCCTCACCTGAACCCAGCCAGCCAGGGGCTCTGCTGCTGTTTCTTGAGGACTATCAGGGGACCTGGGCAGAGTGCCCTGAGATTGGGAAGATTATACCCCAGGCCTGCTCCCAGGAGGGGACACGGGGCAGAGCGTCCCCCAGGCCTGTGTTCTCACCAGGCGACACGGGCAGAGCGCCCCCCAGGTCTGCAGGGATTCAGCATGAGCAGGGAGAGACAGGCCCATGCTTGGTCTGGGCATGAGCGACTCCCTCATAGCGTTTCACCACTCTGCAAGTGGTAGTGAATTAAGTAAAGTAGCTAGAGCCCTCTGGAATGAGCAGACTGGTAAAGGGGTGCTCGCCCTCATCCGTACCCCAGGTCCCCATCTCACGCCCTAGACACAGTGCCTGCAGCCCAGGATTGTTTTTTCCAGTTGGTTATTCATTTGCAATTGTGTAGACTTTGTTTAAAGACATATTTCCATGAAAATTTGCATCTAGAATAAATGAAATCCGCCCATCCAGTCACCATGCTCCTACTGCGTGCCCAGCAGCTCTAGCCTTCTCGGCCGTGCCAGGGGAAGGAGGGGAACGCGTCCCAGGATGAGGCCCCCAGCGGTGGGCCACTCTGCACCCCTCAGCTGGGCTCCTGCGGGGAGGCCCCCAGCGGTGGGCCACTCTGCACCCCTCAGCTGGGCTCCTGCGGGGAGGCCCCCAGCGGTGGGCCACTCTGCACCCCTCAGCTGGGCTCCTGCGGGGAGGCCCCCAGCGGTGGGCCACTCTGCACCCCTCAGCTGGGCTCCTGCGGGGAGGCCTCCAGCGGTGGGCCACTCTGCACCCCTCAGCTGGGCTCCTGCGGGGAGGCCCCCAGCGGTGGGCCACTCTGCACCCCTCAGCTGGGCTCCTGCGGGGAGGCCTCCAGCGGTGGGCCACTCTGCACCCCTCAGCTGGGCTCCTGCGGGGAGGCCCCCAGCGGTGGGCCACTCTGCACCACTCAGCTGGGCTCCTGTGGGGAGGCCTCCAGCGGTGGGCCACGCTTCACCCCTCAGCTGGGCTCTGTTCGTGCCTTACAGGAGAGCATGCTGTCTCCTCTCCAACGCCCACGAGTTTCCTCATGAGCCCTGCAGCGGCCGCCTTGGTAAGCAGCCCCTCACGCTGACCACTTTCTGCCAGAGGTGCACGCTGGGAGAGTGAGTTCATTAGGCTGGCAAAGCTGGTCAGGGCAGGCCTTGCTTGTGTCCTTCAGCAACTGGAGGAGAGCAACACGGGGGCAGAAGGTGTTCCTGTAATTAGCAACAGTAGTCAGAGGTGCCTTCTCTGAGACCTCTGTGGATACAAGAACAGAGACCCCAGGGTTCGATCCCAGGACTGTCAGCATTTGAGTGTGTGTCTCAGTGCTCAAGCCCAGCTGTCAGAGTGTTCATCCATTGGGCTGTTGTGAGGTGTTGTGTGTGTGTATTCTGTGTTGGTGTAAGGTGTTGGCGTGTGTGGTCTGTGTTGGTGTGAGGTGTTGGCGTGTGTGGTCTGTGTTGGTGTGAGGTGAGAGTCGGCCTGTGTGTTCTGTGTGTTGGTGTGAGGAGAGAGTCGGCATGTGTGGTCTGTGTGTTGGTGTGAGGTGAGAGTCGGCATGTGTGGTCTGTGTGTTGGTGTGAGGTGAGAGTCGGCGTGTGTGGTCTGTGTTGGTGTAAGGTGTTGGCGTGTGTGGTCTGTGTTGGTGTGAGGAGAGAGTCGGCCTGTGTGTTCTGTGTGTTGGTGTAAGGTGTTGGCGTGTGTGGTCTGTGTGTTGGTGTGAGGTGAGAGTCGGCCTGTGTGGTCTGTGTGTTGGTGTGAGGAGAGAGTCGGCCTGTGTGTTCTGTGTGTTGGTGTGAGGTGTTGGCGTGTGTGGTCTATGTGTTGGTGTGAGGTGAGAGTCGGCCTGTGTGGTCTGTGTTGGTGTGAGGTGTTGGCGTGTGTGGTCTGTGTTGTTGGTGTGAGGTGAGAGTCGGCGTGTGTGGTCTGTGTTGGTGTGAGGTGAGAGTCGGCGTGTGTGGTCTGTGTTGGTGTGAGGTGTTGGTGTGTGTGGTCTGTGTTGGTGTGAGGCGAGTGTTAGCATTTCCTGCTTTGAGGTTGGGTGCTTGCTGACATGCAGTACAGAGGTACCTGGCCCTGAGTGGGTGACTGCGGCTGACTGGCCATGGACAGCTGGGCCAACGGGTTCTGTCATACCCAAGTAGGGTGCCCTGGCATGCAGAGCTCACGCTGCTGCCTCCTTCAGGTGCCTACTGATGCCTACCATCCCGTCATTGCCAACCTGACCGACGAGCAGCGACGCTCCCTGAGCCTGGCTGTGGCACTGCGCTACCTACAGGATGTGTCCCTCAGCCTCCCGCACAGGGCTCTGTCACAGGAGACTGCCCTGAATCTCACCCAGGTGAGGCTGCCGTGTGTGTGGCGGTCAGACTGTGGCCCACGTATGGTTCTGAAAGCCTGCATTTTGGCTCTCACGTGTGGCTGGCGAGCCACTCTGGCCAGCTGTTTGAGCCTCTGGACCCTCCCTTAGTAGGGCGTGAAGTTGCATTCCCGTCCGCTGTGGGCACCAGGCTGTGCAGCTCCTGCTCAGAACTCGGCTGCCGCCTTGGCAGTGGGCAGCAGGTGCATCTGGGGCCTCAGGGCTCATCGACGTGCTTGGTTAGTGTGCACAGCATTGCCATTAGATGCTGTGTCTTCTCACCTCTTCATGTGTCTTTAGGTCCAGGCAGCTGTGGGGGAAGGGCTCCCGTGGACAGGACACCTGCTGGATGCACGGGGAGGGAACAGCTGCCTCTGAACAACCTCGGGGGGATTGGGGTACCAGGGGGCATACAGAGGGGGTGTGACTCGAGGCTGTTACGCCTCCTCTCCATGACTCCCATCTTGAGCAGAGTTCAGTGTGGTGCAGGTCATGCAGGAAGCACTTTTTTGGGAAACTTGGAGTGGAGTCCTCTTTGCCCTGTGCTCAGAGGGTGCAGCAGAGCAGGCTAAGCAGGTGGAGGTATGGAGGAGGTTGGGGGCTGACACAGCCAGAGCTTGCTCCAACTGCAGGGGGCAGTGTTCAGACCGACTGCAGGTAGCTCCTTGAGACCCAACCCTAGTCCACGGGGTGACCTCGTCCACGGGGTGACCTCTTCTGGGCTCCCTCAGGCTCATTGTTCATGTGGGTTTCTCAAATAGGACATCGGTCAAGCGGACCCGTGCAGGTCAGGCAGGAGCTGTCCCTGAGGCTCAGTGATGGATGGCTTGTCTGTGGCACCCTGTACCAGGTGGCCCTTTGAGAAGCTGCTGGCTCCTGCCCTAGGGCAGTGAGGACAGTGGGACAGAGGGACAGGGGAGTCGGGCACCATCCTCCCTTCTGGCACCTGCACGAGCGGGGCTGACCGTCAGGAATTCCAGTGGGGCAGTCACAACCTGTGCAGCCTTGGTCTGGGGTCTAGAAGAGGGTGACAGTGGAATCCCACGGGGTACCCTCGGGCATGGCGGGGCTGCAGTGGAATCCCACGGGGTACCCTCGGGCATGGCGGGGCTGCAGTGGAATCCCACGGGGTACCCTTGGGCATGGCGGGGCTGCAGTTGCTGGCCAGTGCAGACTGTTTGATCTGGCCAGTTGTGGCCACAAGGGAGTGTGACCAGGGCTGGTGTAAGCAAGAAGCCCTCTCAGCTTCGCAGTGTTGGAGCCTGCTTTCCACGCGGTTGCAAGGTGGTCTGATGCGGCCTGGGGTGTGTAGGTCTCACCCCAGCTCTCGGGCCAAGGCAAGCATCCCAAGGGCAGACTTGTGGTAATGGATTTTATTCAGGAGGTGAGAGAGGGAGTCGACATGTTCATGTGGGCGGTGGGCTGGGTGATGGCCCGAGAGGAGGAGCAGACAAAGGGCAGCTGCGTGGGTGGGAGAGCCCCCCTGGCTGGCAGCTCCTGGTTGGGGGGTGCAGTGCCTGTCCAGGCAGAACAGCACAGCATGTTGGGTTCCTGTGGAGCTTGCTGTCTGGGTGCCCTGGTACCCCACCAGGTCTTGGATGAAAGGTGTACATCCCGGGAAGGGGGAGTGTTTGATTGACAAGTGGGACAGAAGGAAAGCAGAGGCTCGCTGTGACTTGGGGCTCAGCCGACTAAACCAGCACTGGCTCACGTCATTAATCCAGGCTCACAAGCTGCTCCCGCTTCATGTAGAGCGAGTGTTGCCCAGCACACACGTGTTCAGCCGTGACATGGGTGGCATGGGGTATCCTGGTCCTGAGTTGGCCCTGGCCCTGTAGGTTCCTGTGAGGCGCTGAGGGAGACCCAGGCCAAGGCTGGGCTGTTGGCAGGGATGGGTGGCGAGCCGGGTATGGGCTGACCGTGTATGTGAGGCAGGGCTGTTGCTCACCCTAGACCTTCCTGAAGGCTGTGGAGGAGGTCCTTCAGCTGCCCAGCTGGACTGCGGTGTCTGAGGTAAGGGGGCATCCATGCCTGGGAACTCGGGGGTTCCCGGGGTCTGGGTCCTGCTCAGGGGAGGTGGTGCTCAGTGTGGCTAGCCGAGCCACTGCTCAGGCCCTGCCCGTTTGTCTGCATGCCCGAGGCAGCTGGCAGGTGGCGCTTACACGGGAGACCTGCATTTGTTCATTCATTTGTCACTTGGCACAACAGCATTCCTTTTTTTTTTTAAGCCATCACGCTGCTCTTGAATGGCAACAAAAGCATTTTCTGTTTGAAGGTCACTGGATTAAGTGGAGAAAGAGAACACACGAGAAGGGGCACTCCTGGTTTCAGCTGATGGCTCTTGTCCTCTGGGATGTTAGTAATTAATAGAGGACAAAGGAACTTTTCTTGAGTTTCTAAGATCTAATTGATTTTTCTTCTCTAAAGTGGAGACGGTGCAGAGTGTAGGCGATGCATCTCTGGTGTCGCCTTAGGCTGCTTGTCGGGGTGCAGGATGGGACTGCGCAGGTGGCATGCAGGCTGAGCCGAGGCCAGCGACACGGGCCCACTGCTGACCCTGGGGCCACAGGGATGCTCCGACATCGGTGCCTACACAGAGCCCATGCTTGCAAGAGAATGCCAAGGGCTCAGCAGCAGATGGAAGCTTCCAGAAAGACAGGGAGGAGCAGGCAGGAGATGCAGAGCCAGCATCATGAGCAATTTGAGGGTGTGTGTGCACGCTGGCTCTGAGCTGCCTTCTGGGGAGCAAGGTCCCTCAATCCCCACTGCCTTGGGGACTAGGAAGATGAAACAAGCCCATGGTGGGGGAGGCCTGCCAAGGCCAGTCGGTCTGGGGTCCCTGGAGTGCCGCTTCCTCTTGGAGCCTGTGCCAGAGCTGCTGGTATGCTTATACACGAGGGCCCTGGCCGTTGGCCCCCTCGCAGGCACAGGTGTCCCTCAGCACCACGGCCAGGGGCCTGTGTCCACGTCCCCAGCACACGGTGGGACGCGCGGTTCTCACAGGGCTGTGTCGCCTTCAGAGCAGGATCGTGGTGCTGGGCTTGATGGTCACCATTGACGCCGTCATGGGCCACATCTCCTCCAACCTGCAGACCGGCGGGTCCCAGGTCACCATCACCGGCTCGTCCACTGTGGCAGGTAGCAGGGCAGGCAGGATGTGCAGGGGAGGGGGCAGTGGGGGAGTTCCCGGTGGCTCCAGGGCATGCCGCGTGTGAAGGAATGCCAGTGGTTAGTCAGGACAGCAGGGTGCAATCTCCAGAGCAAGCCTGGTGCTGTCCTGCAGTGTCAGGAGCAGGAGGGACAAGAAGCACTCCCAGTCAGCTGGAGTTAGCTTTTCCGGATGACAGCTCTACAGTCTGAGAGTGGACACTGGGCCCTCTGGGTGACCGTCACGCAGTCTGAGAGTGGACACTGGGCCCTCTGGGTGACTGTCAGTCAGTTTCAACTTGCCCACAGCATGATGTTTCTGATGCTGGCCTGTGAGAGGCAGGCCGTGGCCACTCTGGGGACCACGTGGTGTTAGCAGCAGTTTTTCGGCCGGTGTCGGCCTCTCTGTGTTGGCCAGCTGGGTCTCTGTGTTTCCCCTTCCGTGGCTGCAGGGTCCCTTGGGTCTTGGTGGGGAGTACCTACATTTAGCTCAGCTGCACTTGGTGTGTGGGGAGCAGGGGCTGCAGTGGGGACTCATTGTGGGAGAGTGGCTTGGGCGGCCTCCCCGGGGCTCTGGCTGCAGGCCGGGGCGTTACAGATGGCTTTCTTTGGCCCTTCCGCCGGCAGACTTCTCTGTGACTAAACTGCTGCCCCAGAGCCTGAATGCCTCCCACTACCGCTTCCCAGCCCAAGGGCACAGCTACATCGAGCTCTCTCAGGAGGCCCTGCGCGGTCCAGGTGAGCGCCTTCCGGGCAGGGTCTGCCATGGTGAGCATGGTCCTGCCTGTCCCGGGCCTTTGCAGCAGTGTCTCCCCTGGCCAGGGGCCCTAACCCAGGCAGCCTGGGGGCAACACTGTCCTCTGCTAGCTGGGAGCTGTGCTCCTCACTTCCCGCTCCCCCTGGCTGCTCCTAGGGCCCTTCCCTGCTGTCCCTGGGGGAGCCCTGAGGTCTCCCTACCCGCGAGTGCCAGCCCCATGTTCTCATCGTGGCATCTGCTCTCTGTGGCCTGAGCTCTGGTCTGGCTGCTTCCTGTGGCCTTAGGCAGTTACGACCCTGCCCTCCCTCAGTTTCCTGAATGGGAGGCAGGGCGTGGGATGGGCATGCTTTATGCCTATCCCACCGTCACAGGGAGAATTACATGAGCTAAGCACCTTGTTGAGGCCCGACACACAGCAGGGGGGGTCCATGGCAGACGCAGTCACCCCCCCCCCCCGACTGTACCCTGAGATTGCAGGAAGCTGGCACGCACCCCTGCTAGGGGTGTGTAGCCCCTGCTTCGCAGTCCTCAGGCAGCTGTGGGGCAGGACCGTCGGCCTTCCGTGCTGTCTGGGCATGGCTCACGCAGGAGCACGCTGCCCACGAGGCTTTGGGAGGCCAGGGGCAGCAGCGGCCGCAGGTCTAAGCTTGCCCTGGGGAATGGGGCTGTGGAGGCCCCACAGGTCCTGGTGCCTGTGCTTCCCACGGGAGCTGCCTCTGTGCAGGGGACCCCGCTGAGAGGTGTCCCTGCCTCTCTGCTCTCCCCTCCCACAGCCTGGACCACCATCGTGGGCTTGCTGTACCACACCGTGCACTACTACCTGGACAACATCCCCCCAGCCAGCACCAGGTGAGTCGGGGGGAGGGCCTCCGGGCAGGACCCTCTGTCCAACCAGACCTGTCCCCTGTCGTTGCAGGCTCACTGGCCTGTGCCCACGTGAGCAGAGCTGGCTGGCCCAGGGGTTGGGAGTGTCCTGTCCTGAGGGCTCCTGGGCCTTGCTCCAGCTTGTCAAGGGGTGTGGCTTTGCCCATCCCCAGGGGCTCGGTCCCTTCTCCCGAGCCAAGACCCCCTGGCCTGGGACCCAGGCCTCTGCAGTCAGCTCTCACTGCAAAGTGGGGACCCAGGGAGCCAGACAGGCAGAAGCCCACAGCAGCAGTAAGAATGACCGCACTGGTTGTGCCTTGGCGCCGCCCCTGCCGGTCAGGATGCAGGAGGTAGGGGTCTGCGGATCGAGAGCTCAGCTTCCAGCTGTTGTGGGGGGCAGGCTGTGCAGCCCAGGGATGTGCCCAGGTGGCTGTCACCGCAGACTGCCCATCACGGCTCCAGAATGGTCACCCAGCTTGCTAAGCAAGCAGCCCGGGGACACGTCAGGCTGGGCACTGGGCTGGCCTGATGTGCACACAGCCTGGGCACAGCCTTGGGCACACGGCCAGAGTCCTCCAGGCCTGTGTACTCTCTCTGGATGGGGGAACAGCAGCGCCAGGGCCACACGGAACCCACACAGAGCCCACATGGAATTCCACATGGAGCTCACGTGGAACGTGCGTGGACTCCACGCAGAGCTCACAGGGCGTCCGCTGCCTGATTGCTGGTGTCGGGTGACTCTCCGCTTCCCCAGGATTGCCGAGGCCGCGCTGTACAGCGACTGCCTGCTGTCCGCCAGCAGCCACCTCATCTCCCTGGAGGTGTCGCCCACGCTCTCCTGGAACCTGTCAGGTTCTCCACTCGTCGTCATCCACCTCAGGCACAGACTGGTGAGTTCTCGGGCATCTGTGTCCCTGGACCTGGGGCTGAGCTGGCCATGTCGCTGTGGGGATTCAGGTGGCGTTGGGGCTGGCTTCAGTTGCCTCTGGTGTTTGGTCTGCAGTGGGGCGCCCCTCAGTGGCAGCATGAGCAGCGTGGCTGGGGCGCCCCTCGGCAGTGGCGTGGCTGACTCAGGGTGTGAGGCCCTGAGCCCGGAGTGCCTGGGCCTTGAGTGTAGCTGCTGTGGTGTTTACCCTGTACAAGGGGCTGTTCCCAGCTGTGTCCAAGAGCCCTGCCTGGCGGAGCTCCCCGGACTCGGGAACGGTGGCATGCCCCAGGTTGTGCTTGATGAGCTGTGTGCGGCAGTCCCCCTGCAACAGCTCTGCCTTGTTTGGCGTGTGTTTGGAGGACACAGCTGCCCTCATGGAGGGGAGGAGCCTGGGCACGGCAGCTGGTGTCACGCACGTGGGGCCTGAGGGCTGTGGGGCCCTGGAGTAGAGGTGGGCTGAGCGGGGCAGAAGCCACTGGGTGGAGAACCTGTCTCACCACGCTCCATCGCCAGTGTTCCGTGTGGTCACATGCACATGTGTGGACACACAGCCCCTGGCACACATGCGCACACATGGGCACACAGCCCCTGGCACACATGCACACACAGCCCCTGGCACACATGCGCACACAGCCCCTGGCACACATGCACACACAGCCCCTGGCACACATGCGCACACAGCCCCTGGCACACATGCACACACAGCCCCTGGCACACATGTACACACAGCCCCTGGCACACATGCACACACATGCGCACACAGCCCCTGGCACACATGCACACACAGCCCCTGGCACACATGCACACACAGCCCCTGGCACACATGCGCACACAGCCCCTGGCACACATGCGCACACAGCCCCTGGCACACATGCGCACACAGCCCCTGGCACACATGGGCACACAGCCCCTGGCACACATGCACACACAGCCCCTGGCACACATGCGCACACAGCCCCTGGCACACATGCACACACAGCCCCTGGCACACATGGGCACACAGCCCCTGGCACACATGCGCACACAGCCCCTGGCACACATGGGCACACAGCCCCTGGCACACATGCACACACAGCCCCTGGCACACATGTACATGTGTGCGCACAGCCTATAACATACACGTGCATGCATGTTGCCCTGGGTCTCACTCCTGCATGTAAGTTATGTCTGGGCCCTTCGTCCTGTGAACACAAGGTCTTTCTGTGTGTCACAGAAATTTGGCCCAGACCAGCTGGCTGAGCTCAGTCCTTGCCCATCACAGTGCCAGGCCCCTCTTAGGGTCCTGCCACTCCAAGCAGCTGTGGGCATTATGGTCATGTGACGGTCAGGTAGATCTCGTGCGTTGCTGAGGGTGTCAGCGGGCAGGTGTGCCCAGGGGGGCAGTGCCCGGGGAGCAAGCCTTAGACCTTCCTGCCCTACCCTGGCAGAGCCGGGGTTGGCAAATGACAGAGCGGACAGCTATAGTCCCTGCAGGAAATGTCCAGACAGAGGCCGTCCCCACGCCCCTCTCAGCTTCCTGGCAAGTGTGTGACTTGTTCCTGAAGACAGCCTCATGACTCGCCAGTCATGGGCTGACACACCAGAAAGGGCAGCCAGCTCTCCTGGTTGTCTTCTGGACCATCTGAGCAGGGACTTGGGGAGTGGCCACCCAGGAGGACAGGCCATTCTCACCTACCGCAGGCAGGCCCAAGGGAGCATGAGGCAGGCAGCAGGTGCAGTGGCTTGGGGCTGAGAGGCTGGCTGGGAGCCAGGCTGGAGGAACCATGTCAGCTCCTTAGCGAGCTGGGCCCTGGCGAAAGGGGACAGTGATGGCTCTCGGGGGCCAGCAGCCTCCTTAAGGGCCCGTGGGCCTTCCCGGAGAGTGTCTGGAGAAGCCATGGCTGGACTTCTGGAGCCCATCCCTCTCCGACTGCAAGGCTGGGCAGAGGCGAGTTCCAGACTCTAGCGGCCTCCCTGGGCAGAGAGAGGTTTGTAGAAAATGGTGTTTTGTCTTCTGAGAAGTGAAGATGGCCAGCTGGGAAATGAGAGGAGAGAGGAAGGATTAAAATGCAGCCCGCGTCCTGCGTCTGTGGCAGTTATCGTTGAAGGCGTCTGATGGGAGCCCTGGCTTGGAGGAGCAGCTCGACCTGCGGGACAGGGCGGCTGTTGGAGCTCACGGCCAGGCAGCCTCCAGGGCTCCCGGGCTTCTGAAGGCTGCGTGTGGATCTCCCAGGCCGGTTTGGAGGCAGGTTTTGCGCGGCTGACTCCTCTGCTGGGGCTGTCTCCGCAGAAGCAGCCTCCCTCCCCCGGGAGGCAGGGCCCCAGCTTGCACCCAAGACGCAGGCCCCTGCCGTCCCCCGGGGTGGGCTTTCCAAGTCGAAATCGAGATGAAGAAGTCGGTGTTAAGGGACAGGGTGCCAGGGCGTCAGGGCCCACCCCAGGCTCTGCTGCCACTCCACACCCCCGGGCATGGAAGAGGCTCCTTGGCAGGCTCTCTGGGGACTCCATGTGGCAGAATCTGGTTACATGGCAACATCCAGCCGTGACTCGGAGTGTGGACTGTGTTGGTGGCTGAGCCAGGCTGTTCTGAGAATGTGAGAGAGCAGACATCAACCCAGGCTGTCCCCCGGGCAGGCGAGGCCACTGTCCTGGTGGCTGGGCGGGTGCTGAGCCGATCCAACGGAGGGTGGGGCCACAGGTCCCCTCTGAGTGTGCTGGCACCCACCCTGGGTCGGGGTCCTCTTGTTCCCCTGGCCGCTATCCTGGTGACCTCGCCCCTCTTTCCTGGCTTGGCCACGGAGCCTCCGGGAAGCGTTGAGATGGGTGGTGTTCTTGGGGTGTCGCCACGGAGGGAGTTCCCGGCCATCTGGGGCTCCTCAGAGCTGCAGGGCGGGGCCCAGTGACGCTCCGGTCAGTAATTCATCCCACGTTGATCATGGGTTGTGGCTGCGGCGGCTTTTTATAACTCACATGAAAGACGCATCTTCTGAGAAGTCCCCCCATCTGTGGGTGGAGGGCTGCTTGGTGGTGGTGCGGCCCTCAGCTGGACGCTCACCTCCCTTCCCTGCCCTGCCCTTGGCCCGGCAGCACTCTCCCCGCCCCCTCCTGTAGGGCGGCCCCCAGGGCAGGGGCAAAGGGGCACAAGTCGCTGCTTTGGTCACATTCCAGTCCTCTGGGGTGCAGAAAGAAAAGCTGAAGGGACAGGATGGGTCATGGTGAGGGGTCCGGGCAGGGTCTGGCCTCGGGAACCGGAGGGAGGCTCTGGGCTGGGCCCTGGAGGTTCTGGGGGCCTTGGGTGGGGCCTGTCTGAACTCCCAGTTGGCCAAGGGCCTCAGGCTGTCCTCAGCTACACTTCCGGGTGTCCCCCAGGGCGGCCTGCACACCCACAGCCAGGCGTGTTTTGTTTGGGCTGACCACGTCCTATTCTCAGAAATGTCCAGAATACGCTCCCTCAGCAAAGTCAGGAATTCCGGAGTGAGCCCCTCATCACGTGGTTTATGGCCCAGGCACAGGGGTGAGATTCCCAGGTGTGACATCAGATGGGGGAGCTTCTGGTGTTGGCTCGAGGACCAGTCCTGGTTGCTCTTTCAAAACTGCATGGGCGTGGAACTGCAGGTGGGGCGGAGCTGCAGGTGTGACACCAGACTCTGGAACGTTCTGGAAGAATTCTAGCCAGATGTCTAGGGGACAATAACTTATAAAACAAATATTGCATGAGCCAGTGGCGTCTGGGGAGGAAGAGAAAACCCAAAGAGACGCAGAGGCCGAGGTCGACAGCTGTGACGTGGGTGGTGGGAAGGCCACGGGCAGCGCCCCGCAGGACAAGTGCTTCCTTGGTCCCAGACCACACAAGAGACCCTTGAACGTGAAGATGGCGCACACAGCTCAGGATGCAGACGCACATGGGGAGGAAGCGAGGCCTTGGGGGACTGCTGGGAGCCAGAATCGGGGTGCTGGGAAGCAGGGAGGGCCACACCCTCACAGTCCTGTCATGGCATGAGTCACTGGGCCAGATGCCTGAGCTGTCTCTGGGCCACAACCAGGAGTGAAGCCTTCGGGGTGGGTGGACTATGTGTCCCCCCAGTGTCCGGGGGTCCCGGACCTCTTGGTGCAGTCCATGTCACTGCATGGACCGGGTAGGACACTCAGCCTGGGCCTGGAGCTTACTCAGTCCGGGGTGGCATCCCCTTGACCTTGACCCGATCCTGTCTGTCACCTCCCCTGGTGTGGCCCCAGGCCCCTGCATTCCCTCCAGGCACTGTGGGTAACGAGCTCCGGATGCTTTCCTTAGCCATGAGGGGCCGTGGGCCGTCATCAGCCCCTCATTTAGAGCCCCTGGCCTCCGGCGGGCGTTCTGGCCTGAGTGGCCGGGAGCCTTCGGAGGTGGGCACGGGTTCTGCTTCCAAGGCTCTGTGCTGAGCGTCCAGACCCCACTGCCCACACGGCACACAGTTTTGCTGTTCTCTGATGGTGCCAGGACTGGTGTTCATTTTCATTCTGAGCAGGCAGGCGCCTTGGCGGAGGCAAGGGAACGGCGGTGCAAGGTCTGCTGAGTCTGGTCCCCTGACTGAGGGTGGGAACTGAACGTTGGCTTGTGTGATCTGCTCTGGGCTGAGAACTGGTTGCGGGCACGTGGGAGCAACTTGGCCGCTCAGCAGCAGGCTCTCGTTTCTCACCATGCACCCAAGCCTGGAGGCCCTGTGGGGTGACCCAGACAGCTTTTAGGGGATGTTTGTAGGGCACAGGGCAAATGAGGGCAAGTCCTAACGCAGCCAGCAGTTCACACCTGGGTCCCTGCCTGTGATGTGCATGTGGCTTTGGGCTCTCTCCGGAGTCGGGGAAGTGTCTGCACAGGGGACCCACGAGGCTAGGATGGGCTGGGCAGGTGGATGGGCAGTGGGCTAAGGGGCCAGGCCCTGGACATGTGGTCAGGTTTGAGGATGGTTCAGTGTGGGGAGTGGCCGAGGCCTGGCATTCAGGAACCAGGAGAGGCCATGGTTGCAGTGTGCAGAAGCAAGGCAGGCAGTGCGTACTGGCCCATGGGGCTGGGCAGGCCCACGTGTCCCCCGGCTTAGCACTTTCAGGGACCGGGCTCCACAGATCTGGGGACCTCTCCACTAGGCAAGCTGCCACCCCTGGCAAGACCAGGAGAAGGGGACAACACTTGAGCAGTGTCAGGGTCCCTGAGCAAGGGCAGGTGGGCCCTTGCCCAGGTCCTGCCCTGGGCAGGGGCTGCCAGGCTGGCCTCCCTGGCTCCTGGGTACTGTGTGAGCAAGGGCAGGTGGGCCCTCGCCCAGGTCCTGCCCCGGGCAGGGGCTGCCAGGCTGGCCTCCCTGGCTCCCTGTTCCTGGGCACAGTGTGTATCTAGCTGGGCTATCCAGGCAGCCCCTGCTAAGCCCTCCGTTCCAGGACACAGTACTGGAGCTGAGCGTTGATCACCAATATTCCAGTGGGTCCAAAGCCTGTGGGAACTCAGGCCCGGACAGGCCTGGAGCAGCTGAGTCTGGGCAGTAGGCAGGTCTGTGTGCTGTGCTCCAGTCGCTGGGCCTGCATGGTGGCCAGAGACCAGAGGACAGTCTTGGTGGCAGACATCCGGGCACTGGCCTCCTTGCCAAGGCTCAGAGTGGGACCCCAGACCCTGCAGGACGAGAGAGGTAGTGGTGGGGAGGGAGAGGAAGGCTGGCCTGCGTGTTCTTGCCGTGAGGCCCTCTCCTGCGAGGGTGTACCGTCGGCTGTACGCAGGCCCTGCTGGACCCCGGCCTGAGTCAGGTGTCCGTCCTTATGGAGAGGTCCCAGCTGTGACCAAATGAGGAATGAGCACCCGAGTCTCCTGATGTGAGCTCCACGGGGACATTTCATGACCAGGATGAAGGGGCAGAGCGGGACCCACACCCCAGGGATTCCAAAGAGCAGAACTTGTGGGGGGTAAGTCTGGGAGCCGAGCCCAGCGTGGCAGTGAGAGGTGAGGCCCCAGGCCCGTCCTGACAATCGCGCCCACACTGGGCTCGAGGCCTCTGGGACCAGTGAGGCTCTGGGCCCCAGGCCACATGCTTGTGTCTCTGTGCTGAGTCACAGCTCAGCTGGGCGGTTAGCCGAGTATGGGATGTCCTTGGTGAACAGTGCTCGGAGAGCTGTCAGGCCCAGGTGGCAGGAGAGGCAGGCATGGCAAACCCTGGGCTACCCTCAGCTCAGGCTGCTGCCTGGGGGCTGTGGCAGGCACTGGGGACACTGGGACCAGCTGGAGCAGGAGGCAGATGCCGCCCGAGCTGCTGATCTGACAGCCTTGGGTCACATCGGGGCCTCCCTGGTCATTGAGGCTTGGAACAGCATGGTGACTGTTCAGTTTAGAAGGAATACTGGTTGTGATGGATTTGGAATCCAGCAAGTGCATTTATTCTGGGCCCCAAGCCATGGCCAGGCAGCCCTGGTTCCCAGCCAGGTCACTGACTTCCTGAGCCCCTGGCCTCCTGTGGTGAGGCACATCTCTGCTCCTCACCTGGGCAGAGGCGCTGCTGCTCCAGGGTGCCCCAAGCTGGAGTCCAGTAACAGGGAGGCCGGTCTTCATGCAGTGCCTGCTGTGTGCCAGGGGACTTGATGCCAGAGGCCAGGGCAGCACAAGGAGACAGGCACCTTGGCCCCAACTTGTGTAACCAGAGGGGAGAAGGCAAGAACCAAATGTGGGACCAGCAGGAGGAGGCAGGCGTTGGCGCTGTCATTTGCACAGGCAGAGACTCATTGGGGACAAGGACACAAAGCTGTCTTGGGGCGTGTGTAGTTATGCAAAGGCCTGGGTTTGTGGGGTGCTGGGGTTGGGGCTGACCACTGCGGGCATGGAGGTGGCCAAGGGATGCCCCCACACTGTGCCAGGTTTGTGGGGTGCTGGGGCTGACCACTGCGGGCATGGAGGTGGCCAAAGGATGCCCCCACACTGTGCCAGGTTTGTGGGGTGCTGGGGCTGACCACTGCGGGCATGGAGGTGGCCAAGGGATGCCCCCACACTGTGCCAGGTTTGTGGGGTGCTGGGGCTGACCACTGCGGGCATGGAGGTGGCCAAAGGATGCCCCCACACTGTGCCAGGTTTGTGGGGTGCTGGGGCTGACCACTGCGGGCATGGAGGTGGCCAAAGGATGCCCCCACACTGTGCCAGGTTTGTGGGGTGCTGGGGCTGACCACTGCGGGCATGGAGGTGGCCAAGGGATGCCCCCACACTGTGCCAGGTTTGTGGGGTGCTGGGGCTGGGGCTGACCACTGCAGGCACGGAGGTGGCCAAGGGGATGTCCCCACACTGTGCCAGGTTTGTGGGGTGCTGGGGCTGACCACTGCGGGCATGGAGGTGGCCAAGGGATGCCCCCACACTGTGCCAGGTTTGTGGGGTGCTGGGGCTGGGGCTGACCACTGCAGGCACGGAGGTGGCCAAGGGGATGCCCCCACACTGTGCCAGGTTTGTGGGGTGCTGGGGCTGACCACTGCGGGCATGGAGGTGGCCAAGGGATGCCCTCATACTGTGCCAGGTTTGTGGGGTGCTGGGGCTGGGGCTGACCACTGCGGGCATGGAGGTGGCCAAGGGATGCCCCCACACTGTGCCAGGTTTGTGGGGTGCTGGGGCTGACCACTGCGGGCATGGAGGTGGCCAAAGGATGCCCCCACACTGTGCCAGGTTTGTGGGGTGCTGGGGCTGACCACTGCGGGCATGGAGGTGGCCAAAGGATGCCCCCACACTGTGCCAGGTTTGTGGGGTGCTGGGGCTGACCACTGCGGGCATGGAGGTGGCCAAGGGATGCCCCCACACTGTGCCAGGTTTGTGGGGTGCTGGGGCTGACCACTGCGGGCTTGGAGGTGGCCAAGGGATGCCCCCACACTGTGCCGAGCATCTGCAGCCATACCAGGCCGGTTTTGCTTTGTTTCAGACCCAGAAGCAGTCAAGCAAGGTGGTCAATGAGAGCAACCGTGTCTTCCTGTACTGTGCCTTCCTGGACTTCAGGTACTGGCTGGGTGGGAAGTGGCAGAGCAGAGCTGGACTGCAACCCCAGAGCCCCTGACCATGGAAAGTGACACATGGCAAATCCACGTGATACAAAGAGCCAGCACTCCTTTGACCAATACATCTCCCCTTCTGCATGGTTTATGTGTCTGGAGCAGGGTGAGGCCTCCTGCGGGGTGCTGGGTCCTGTCCACGGGCCTCATGTCATCCTGGCCATGTGGGCACCCGTTGGCTGCTCAGCAACTGTGTGAGCTGCAGGGATGCAGCTCTGCTGGCACTAGGCTCCCTGGCACAGGCCCTGCAGCTTTGAATGGTGCCTGGCAGTACCTGGTGTTACCTGGCAGTAGGTTGCTGTACTTGATGTTACCTGGTGGTACCTGGTGTTACCTGGATCTGGCAGTAGCTGGCAGTACCCAGCTGGCATCCACAGATGTTTGCTCCACCAGAAACCTGCCTTCCTCTGTGCATGGACTCGTTAGGAAGTGGGTCTCCACCATGGACACGGCTCCCAGCTCAGCTCCCTGGCCCACAAGGGCAGTGGTTTTCACGGCTATTTGGAGATGGTCCATGGTCAGCAGCTTGCTCTGCATGAGTGGAGGGGCTTTGTCACCTTGTGGCCGTGAACATCGAACCCAACACCTGCCTGAGCTCAAGTTGTCTCACATGGACAGCACTCCGTGTGCCTGGCAGGCAGGCGAAGCCCAGGGCAGCACCCGGGCTGCTGGCTGCCCTCAGTCCTGGAGCCTGGCCTCGAGGTCACTGTGGGGCTGAGCTGCTCTTGAACAGGAGCCTGCAGTGGTTCTGGCTTTGCTCTCTGCTGTCCCCCTGCCCTGGGGAGAGCATAAAAAGCACCATGGAAATTACATCTGGTCCTGAAGCCCAGCACCTGCCTGGAGCCTCCCCAGCCCCTGGTGTCACCCATGCAGCTGCCCCATGTCCTAGGGATGCACAGATGCTGCTGGCACATGCCTGGCCTGGGGTGTCCGAGCAGGAGGGCCAGGCTGGGCCCCATGGGTGCCTGGCCCAGAGTGTCTGGTGGGAGGGCCAGGCTGGGCCCCATGGGTGCCTGGCCCAGGGTGTCCTGGTGGGAGGGCCAGCTGGGGCCCCATGGGTGCTGGCCCAGAGTGTCCTGGTGGGAGGGCCAGCTGGGGCCCATGGGTGCTGGCTGACATCTGTGGATAGACAGTGAGGCCTTGTTCCTTCCCCAGGGCCCCTGCCTCAGGCTGAACTGCTGAGAGCTCAACTTCCAAAGGGGCTGCTGTGTCACTGAAAAGGGGCTGAACTTGTCACTGGGCTCCCCCATGAGCTGGCCCCACCAGGAACGAGGGCTTGCTCACACTGAGGCACTCGAGTGCCCTCTGTGGTTCCATGTCCTGCATCAGCCCTCACCTCCCTTGCTCCCCCTCCCCGGCCTCTGCACCTGGGGGCGTGGGTGGGGGTTGTACGTTCTGAGCGAGGTAGGCTGTCGTGTGTGCCCACTCTGTACCATGGTGCTGTCCCAGGCCGGGGCTGGAGCCCAGCAGCCTTGCCTGGTGTCATGTGTGGCTCCATGTGCACTGGTCCAGCTACTGGCTGGACGTGAACTTGGCTTCATTTGATTTTCGAGGGCTTCTGCAGCCTGGGCCACTGCCCCGCCCCTGGCCTCCTTCAGCCCCGGGAGAACCTGTATTCTGGAGATTCTTGGCTGGCTGGGGCAGTGCCACCTCCCTAACTGCCTGCTGTGTCCTCAGCTCCGGGGAAGGGGTCTGGTCCAACCAGGGTTGTGCACGCACAGAGGGCGACCTCACCTACTCCGTCTGCCACTGCACACACCTCACCAACTTCGCCATCCTCATGCAGGTGGTCCCGCTGCAGGTAAGAGCCGGCCTTGGGCTCTGCTGGGGGCGGGGGCTGCAGGAGCAGCTGTGCTGTGTGGCCCGGGGGCCTGCCTGCGTGGGGGATCCCACGCTCTCAGCTTGGGGGTCCCACGCTCTCAGCTTGGGGGTCCCAGCAGCTTCGGCGATGTGCTGAGTCCAAGGTGGGCACAGGGAGCTGAGGGCTGGCCTCACCCACCCGCCATTCACAGGCCGTTTGTGCAGGTCCTGGGGCTGGACAGTGAGCAGGATGCCGACGCATCTGTGTCGGGGGGCATGTCCTCACGGGAAGTGCAGATGGTAGGGGTAGCCCACAAGGCAGTCACTTCCTGGAGTGCTGGGTGTGGAGGGAGCGAACAAGCTGTGAGCATCGGAGGGGAGGGGCTGCAGTGGCAGGTCCCAGAAGAGACCTTGGAGAGGGTGGAAGAAGTAAGGGCAGGCTGAGGGTCGGCGTTGGTGCTGCGAGGGTGAGGGGAGGTGTCTCCATTCAGTCAGTTAAAGCACACCCGCACCACTGGGATCCCAGGAGCCTTTGCAGTAAATCTGTCACCGTGAGCGGCAAAGGTGACACTGATCTAGTCTGCCAGTGGGTGTCCTTGGGGAGCAAACCACACCGACTCACCACCGTGAAAGGCTCATCTGAAACGGTTTAAAATCAGCCACGCTGAAAACGAATCTTCCACAGGCCCAGGAACATCAAGACAGGTGTCACAAACAGGGGCGTGAGCGGGGTGCATTTACAGAGCTGATGAAAAAGCGGGAGGGACCTGCTTCACTTATCGCTGAGCCCACGGCTGCCGGGGTCCCGGGGCCAGGCTCTCTGAGACGCCCACACCCACTGTACATCCACCATGTGCCCCCCAAGCCCTCCCAGCCCCTCCATGCCCGGCTTCGCCCCTCCTCCCCGGAGACCCCTGATGGGGGCCTTGGTTAGGCACGTGGGTCTGGGCATGTCAGCAGAGGACCAACCCAGGGGACACTCCCAGGAAGCCCTGCGCGTGCAGGCATGCGACTCCTGCTGCGGGCTGCGAGTGAGACCAGCGTGAGTAGCAGTGGTCCACCCGTGCTTGTGCCGGCGTGGAGCTGACTGCACACGCCCCTCTGACGAGGCCCTCTGCACCACCCTGGGTCCAGGGCATGCGGGACTCCTGCTGTGTGGGGGGACAGGTCAGCGCCCCCGGGGGAAGCTTCCTGAGGTACTTCCCCTGGGAGTCAGTTGCTTGCTGTTCCGTGGCGGCCTGCCTGCCTCTATGGTGGCTGGGCTGGACTTGGGTCCTTTGTGAGGATGACCAGTGGGGGACCTTGGGGACAGGCCCCACAAGGAGAAAGACCCTGCGTGCCTGCCCCAGGACTGTATGACTCGGACACCCACGACCAGAGACAGACTGCAGGTTTTCCTAAGCTGGTCTGGCACTAAGGGACAGCACCCCAAGTGTAGAGACTGTGTCCACCATGGATAGCCAGTGGGAGAACCAGGTCAGTCCCCACCGGAGAGGTTCCTGGGAGTAACATACATGCTGGGGCGGGTGAGGGCCTCTGCGAGCAGGAGTGTCTGGGAGGGACTGGTTGATGTGAGCCTGCTCACAATGCTACTGGGAGTCGGGGGTCCTGCTGGGATTCTGCTGGGAGTCAGGGGGTCCTGCTGGGATTCTGCTGGGAGTCGGGGGTCCTGCTGGGATTCTGCTGGGAGTCAGGGGGTCCTGCTGGGACTCTGCTGGGAGTTGGGGGTCCGGCTGGGATTCTGCTGGGTGACGGTCTGGGTTGGGATGCTGTTGGTAATAGTGAGTCCGGCTCAGAATGGTGGGCAATGGTGAGACTGGCTCAGGGTGCTGCTGTTTCATGGTGAGGGGTCGGCTTGGAAGCTGGCTATAGGAGCCTCGTGACCTCCACCAACTCTGGCGGACTCACTGTGCTGAGCAGCCATGCGCTGGGTGCAGGTGCAGCTCCACCCCTCGCCTGGGGGAGGGACGTGCAGACATCACCGCAGCACTGGCTCCTGGGGCACTGGTGTGCATGGAGCACTAGGCCAGGACGGTGAGCCCTGCCCCAGGAGCTGTGGCAGCCAGAAGTGCAGAAGGGAGACTGGGGTACAACCCGGGGTGCCCACAGAAGCCTCTGAAGGATGAGCTGGGTGGCTGGCTGGCAGGTGTTCCTGGGCCATGCTGGGAGGAATGAGGGGCTGGTCTGGGCAGGACACCGTTCTGCCCTCACTGCGGGCTCTGCACATCCCTGGTGACCTGGGGTGTGTCTCCCTAGAGTCCCTTCCAATAGTCTCTGGGGCACCGTGGGGTGCATCTGCAGTGGCCCTTCCCTCCCTGCCATGAGCCAAGAACAGCTGCCTGGTGTGGCTGTGCAGTGCCCGCCCCTGCGAGTGGCGACACAGGTGGCCTCTCAGGACAGACCTGCATCGCCCACGCGCAGCCAGGCCAGAAGATACACAGAGCCACCCCAGGGAGCATCGCTGGTGCCATGGTGATAAGCGCCCCTCTTGTGGTTGCTGGGCAGCAAGATGCTGGACTCAGACCTGCCAGCACCTGCCTGGCATGTGGGGGCAGGTGGCCTCGTGGGTGCAGACCCTGGTTGAGCCTGGAGGGTGCCTGGGGCCGCCCCTTGACTGCACTGAGGGATTCTGGCGGCATTGGAGGAGCCTCTAGGAAGTGAGTGAAGTGGGCTGTGAGATTCCTTCGGGGGGCAGCTCCCGGCTCTGTCACATGGCCTCTGATCTGACCCCTGTACCACCAGGCCCTGGGGAGCTGGGTAGCCCCTTCACTGCCAGGCTTGTCCTGGGGCCAGTGGGGCGGCTTTGGCCCCTCTCCCAGCCCCCGGGGGCAGAGTTCTGGTGTCCTGGCTGAGGACGGGAAGCCCTTGTTCTGTGGTCCCCGTGTGTGCGGCTGTCCCTGGTGCAGGGGCCACGCTGGGCAGTAGAAGCAGGTGTCTCGGGCCTGGTGCATAGAAGTGAGGAGCCTGCTGGATCAGGGGCCAGGGTGCAGTGCAGAGGGGCTGCCGGCGAGCTGTGGCATGTGTCAGTTGTCGCTCGTCTGTGTCTGCCCAGCCTCTGCTCTCAGAGGCGTCTGACCAGTGGGGGTGAGTGCTGTGGCATGGTGGACACTGGGGGTGCCCCGGCACACCTGCTGCTCAGGCCCAGCTCCCTGCTGATGTGCCTGGGGTGGCGGCAGAGGGCCTGCTTCAGTCTGGCGCAGTCCAGGGGCATTTGGGCAGTGAGTCAGTGGATGGAAGTCTGGAAGTCTCCCTTTCCTTCTGCCTGCTGACCCTTCTCTCCTCTCCTCTCTCTTCTCTCTCTCTCTCTCTCTCTCTCTCTCTCTCTCTCTCTCTCTCTCTCTCTCTCTCTCCCCCCCTCCTCTCTGCTGTTTGGCCTCTCAAATAGATAAACACTTCTTTAAACACAGTGCTAGTCTTTGGAGCAGGCAGTTGTTAGTACATATGTTCTGGTAGGTGGTGCCCAAATCTTACCTGTGCCAGCCAGTGTCAGGGGCCTTCATGTGTGCCCACTACCTCACTACAGGGGAGCTGTAGGCACTCCCTGGCACGTGGGGCCCCGCTCAGAGCTCCCCTGGCATGTGGGGCCCCGCTCAGAGCTCCCCTGGCACGTGGGGCCCCGCTCAGAGCTCCCCTGGCACGTGGGGCCCCGCTCAGAGCTCCTCTGGCACGTGGGGCCCCGCTCAGAGCTCCCCTGGCACGTGGGGCCCTGTTCAGAATGCCTTGGAGGTGTGGTTTCTTGTGAGGCGACCTGTGAGCCTAGCACGCAGCCCCTTGCCTGTCATGGGTGGAGACACACACGTCCCAGGTCATCGGTTGACGCCATTGAGCTGGACCTTAAACCTGGGCACTGCCTCGGCAGAACATGTGCTGGGGCAGACACGGGACAGTGCGAGCATGACAGGAGGGCACCTGCTCGGCCTGGGGTGGCAGTTCTGCCATGCAGCCACCCACCGGGCCTCTCTCTGCTCCTGCAGCTCGCACACGGACACCAGGTGGCGCTGTCGTCCATCAGCTACGTGGGCTGCTCTCTGTCGGTGCTCTGCCTGGCCGCCACGCTGGTCACCTTTGCCGTGTTGTCGTGAGTCACTCTCCACCCCCGTGTCCTGGGGGGCAACAAGGGGGGGCATCTGGTGGCTTTGGGCAGCTCCCAGCATCCTCTGCCTCTGCCTGGCCTCCCTCGAGGGCGCATGCCCACCCACAGGCTGTGGGCGGCTGGTAGCTTTGGTGAGAAAAGGGTCCCTTGGGTCAGGGCCAGCCTGGACAGGCTTGGGGAGGCCCCTGCCCGACCACCTGGGTATTCTGGAAGGGTCTGAACCAGGCCAGTGCAGGAGCGCAGGCCCTAAGCTGCCTCTGTCCCGGGCTGGGACGTTCATGCTGGGGCAGATGGGGACAAGTTGGTGTGGGACCAGACAACAGCAAGGGAACAGAGCACGGCCAGCGTCATCACCGTAGCTGTGCAGGGAGCCAGGGACGTGGGCACTGCCTGGGCAGGACGCTTGGTCAGGGATGCCTGGATCGGGGTGGAGGGATGCACAAGGAGTGGCTGGCATGGGGGTGTGGCGGGGAGGGAAGACAGGCGTGTGGTAGGTAGCTGCTCCCGGAGCGGTGGTAGCTGGTGGTGGCCAGGCTGAGGCAGAGGGTGCCGGTAGCTGGTGGCGGCCAGGCTGAGGCAGAGGGTGCCGGTAGCTGGTGATGGCCAGGCTGAGGCAGAGGATGCTGGTAGCTGGTGGTGGTCAGGCTGAGGCAGAGGGTGCCAGTAGCTGGTGGTGGCCAGGCTGAGGCCGGTAGCTGGTGGTGGTCAGGCTGAGGCAGAGGGTGCCGGTAGCTGGTGGTGGCCAGGCTGAGGCAGAGGGTGCCGGTAGCTGGTGGTGTCTGGAGGATCACAGCAGGGACGGGCGCTCAGCAGGCCGAGGCCGAGCCAGCAGCAGCCGCCCCCTCTTTGCCCAGCTCCGTCAGCACCATGCGGAGCCAGCGCTACCACATCCATGCCAACCTGTCCCTCGCGGTGCTCCTGGCCCAGATCCTGCTGCTGATCAGCTTCTGCCTCGAGCCGGGCACGGTGAGTGGGCACCCGCCCTCTGACGTCACCCTGCGGCCCCCTCCTCTGGTGAGGTCCTCAGAACTCAGACCCCATCTGCCCGGGATGAGAGGGGTGACTGTCCCAAGTCAGCAGAGCTACGAGGGCGCTGCTGGCTGTCTCACACTTGGGAGTGGCCGTGTGTGTACATGTGACACATACATGGTCTGCATGCGTGTGTGTGTCGAAAGCCTGCACCCCCCTGGCCAGGGGATGGAGGCCCAGGGCTCTGGAGCCGTGGCCGAGGTGACAGCCCTGGCAGGGGCACACCAGGACCTGGCCTTGCTGCCATTGTACCCCAGCTGTGTGTGCACGCTGAGCATTCAGACCCAGCACCTCTGACTGCCAGGCAGGGACTGCCCAGCAGAGGGCAGCACTGAGTCCTGCAGCTGCAGCCCTTGCTCCTGTGCGAGCCGTCCGAGCCGTCTGTGGGGATCTCCACCCGCAGGACAGGCCCGTGGGGGTCTCCACCCGCAGGACAGACGCTCTGGTAGGACGCTGCACTGCCCACGCTGAGGAGGGAGATCCTGCAGCCTTGGTGGGGGATGACAGCTTCCTCCCACAGCCCTGCCTGAACTCCCCGGGATGGCTCTCACCATTGGGTTAAGCTCTGCCGCACATGACCATCGTGGTCTCCCCGGTCTGGAGGAAGGGGGCAGCCAGTCCTAGCAGGTGCAGGACCAACAGAATGACAGCCATGGCCAAGGCCTGCGTCTGTCACGATGAGTCAGACAAGCAGGGGCGTGGCGTCAGTCCCCTGGGCTGACTGAATTAGCAGAGGGAAGCAGCTGTCAGCCCCCATTCCCTGGACCTTTCTGGGGGCGCAGGTAGGCCCTGGGGGTTCCTCCTGTGCTCAAGGACCACAGAGTGACAGACTCCTGGGGACCCTGAGAGTTTGACTCCCCAGCAAAGACCAGGAGGCCACAGGCTGGGGGACACCCCGACAGGGGGCCGTGGGCTGGGGACACCCTGACAGGGAGGCTGCAGACTGGAGAACCCCGACAGGGAGGCTGCAGGCCGGGGGACACCCCGACAGGGAGGCTGCGGACTGGTGGACCCTGACAGGGAGGCTGCGGGCTGGTGGACCCCGACAGGGAGGCTGCAGGCCGGGGGACACCCCGACAGGGAGGCTGCGGACTGGTGGACCCTGACAGGGAGGCCGCGGGCTGGAGACACCCCGACAGGGAGGCTGCAGGCCAGGGGACACCCTGACAGGGGGCCGTGGGCTGGGGACACCCCGACAGGGAGGCTGCAGGCCGGGGGACACCCCGACAGGGAGGCTGCGGACTGGTGGACCCTGACAGGGAGGCCGCGGGCTGGAGACACCCCGACAGGGAGGCTGCAGGCCAGGGGACACCCCGACAGGGGGCCGTGGGCTGGGGACACCCCGACAGGGAGGCTGCAGGCCGGGGGACACCCCGACAGGGAGGCCGCCCACTGTGTCCGTGGCGGGAGCCTCATCTGTGTCTGTCCTGCCTCCAGGTGCCCTGCCAGGTGCTGGCCGTGCTCCTGCATTACTTCTTCCTGAGCGTCTTCGCCTGGATGCTGGCAGAAGGGCTCCACCTCTACAGCCTGGTGGTCAAGGCCTTCGGGTCGGAGGACAGCAAACACCTGTGCTACTACGGGATCGGATGGGGTAGGCGGGCTGGGGATGAGATGGGCGGGAAGTCCAGCTGGTTTTGTCTCTGCTGACCTCAATGCCTCCTAGAGGGGACCTCACTGGCCCGTTTCCCATCTCTGGGGAACAGTTCCAATGTTCCAGGCTTGGCTCGTCCACTTGGTCATGTTTCATCAGTTTCTGCCTCAGGGCTCCCTGCCTGCCCCTCTTCTCCCAGGCCGAGCGGAAGGAGTGTGTTGTGGGCTCAGGTCTGTGGTCCTGAGTGTGCGTTTCCCCTGTGCCGTATCAGCTACGTCTCCTGTTCGTGTCTTTATCTCCACCCGTCCCCACGTGTTTTGTAACTTCTCCTCTGATCCAGTGACATGTATTTGTGTTTCTCACTTTTTTCACTGCCGGTTTCTAATGTTCTGTTGTGTGCAGATAACATGCTGTGTGGGATTTCCGTCCTTTTAAATGTCCTCATGTTTGTTTATGCATAAGGAAGTGATCTTTCTGGAGAGCATCTCACTTGCGCCTCCAGGAAGTCACACGTGCTGTGGCTGTGGGCGGAGCGCTGCAGGTGCCGTGCTGTGGGTGGAGCGCTGCAGGTGCCGTGCTGTGGGCGGAGCGCTGCAGGTGCCGTGGCTGTGGGCGGAGCGCTGCATGTGCTGTGGGCGGGGCGCTGCAGGTGCTGTGCTGTGGGCGGGGCGCTGCAGGTGCTGTGGGCGGGGCGCTGCAGGTGCCGTGCTGTGGGTGGAGCGCTGCAGGTGCTGTGGGCGGGGCGCTGCATGTGCTGTGGGCGGAGCGCTGCAGGTGCTGTGGGCGGGGCGCTGCAGGTGCTGTGGCTGTGGGCGGAGCGCTGCAGGTGCTGTGGGTGGAGCGCTGCAGGTGTCGTGGGCGGAGTGCTGCAGGTGCTGTGGGCGGGGCGCTGCAGGTGCTGTGGGCGGGGCGCTGCAGGTGCTGTGGGCGGAGCGCTGCAGGTGCTGTGGGAGCCGCGCTGACACGCACCAGTGTTCAGGCTTCCGGTCTCCTGGCTGCTTGGCCAGCTGTTCTGTCCCGGACAGGCGGGCGTGGCAGTCAGCACCGGCTGAACTGCTCTTCTCGCTCTGTTTGGCTATTTTTGGGGGCGGAGGGGCGTGTCATTGGGACCTTTGTGTTTGTCTTAGGCTCACAAACATTTATACTTCTGTCTTCCTATTGAATTGACATTTTGAACAAATTTGTTTTGTTTGAAAGACTGAGAGACAAGGAGAGACAGAGAGATCTTGAATCTGTTGATTCATTCCCCGAAGCCTGCGATAGCCAGAGCTAGCTGGCCTGAAGCCGGGATCCCGGAGCTCCTTCTGGGTCTCCCGCGTGGGTGCAGGGGCCCAGGCGCATGGGCCACAGGCAGGGAGTCGGATGGGAAGTGGGGCAGCTGGGACCTGAGCCAGTGTCCATGCAGAGATGCCGCAGGCGGAGGCTTAGCGTGCTACACCACAGTAGCAGCCCCATCAACGCCGTTTTCCCTCCGGTTCTTTGGCTGTCCTCCCTCACTGCCTTCTGCTCCGCTCGGTCTGACTAACATGCGTTGGCCTGCGAGAGGTGTTGCTTGGTCCTTATCCTGACGTGTCTGCATGTCTCCGTGTTCACGCTAGCTGGACCCTGCGGAACTGCCCGGGTGTGCGGGGCTTCCCACCACGGTCTCCCGCTTTCTGCTCTCTCACGTTGGTGGACTGCATGGCGTTCCACGTCTCCCTAACAAGGTGACCCCATTTCCTCCTTTCTACTCTCCAAACTATGTGTTCTTGATTCGTGTATCTTCAAGTTCAGGAATTCTTCTCCTGGCAGTTCAGGTCTATTGTGGAACTCACCTCCTGCGTCTCCCCTCCTGCGTCTCCCCTCCTGCGTCTGCCCTCCTGCGTCTGCCCTCCTGCGTCTCCCCTCCTGCGTCTGCCCTCCTGCGTCTCCCCTCCTGCGTCTCCCCTCCTGCGTCTCCCCTCCTGCGTCTCCCCTCCTGCGTCTCCCCTCCTGCGTCTGCCCTCCTGCGTCTCCCCTCCTGCGTCTCCCCTCCTGCGTCTCCCCTCCTGCGTCTCCCCTCCTGCGTCTCCCCTCCTGCGTCTCTCCTCCTGCGTCTGCCCTCCTGCATCTCTCCTCCTGCGTCTCCCCTCCTGCGTCTCCCCTCCTGCGTCTCCCCTCCTGCGTCTCCCCTCCTGCGTCTCTCCTCCTGCGTCTGCCCTCCTGCATCTCTCCTCCTGCGTCTCCCCTCCTGCGTCTCCCCTCCTGCATCTCTCCTCCTGTGTGTCACCTCCTGTGTCTTTTCTTTCTGGTCATTGCACTTTCAACTCCAGAATTTCTGTGGTTTTTTTGTTTGTTTTGTTTTGGTTGTTTCACATCTATCTGCTTGTTCTCTGTCGGATGAGACACTATGCATTCAGTTCCTTCTGAAGGGTGTTTTGCTCAGCTTTTCTGAGAGCAGTTAGTGCTTTAGCCTCTTCCTGTTGAGGCTGACACGGGGCCTGAACCAGGCTGCGTGTGTTGCTCCCCGGCGTCTTCAGTGCGGAGGCGATGCCTGCTGACTCTGCACGTCCCACAGTCTAGTTGAGCCCTCGCTGTTTCTCCTGGGCGGCATGCTCCCAGGAGGAGCTCCTGAGGCACGCTGCGCAGCTGGGGGCATGCACAGCCACCCTACATTCAAGGTGAGGAACAGGCTCAGGTCTCAGGGCTCATCTTGCCCGTGTAAATCCTGTCCCCAGCCCCAAGGCAACCACGGTGAGGGTGAGGCGGTGGGCCGCACTGCCAGCGTGCCACCCCCGCTGGCCCTGTGTCTGCGAGTTGGAGCTGGGTGGAGACAGGCTTTCAGCTGCGTTTCCCTCCCACTCATAAAGGACGTGTCGCCTCTGTGATCTGAGTCCATTTAAAGGACTCCAAGATGACACGTGGTCAGTCATGGGCATGTGACGGGTCTCCTTATGGACAGTCACAACGTGGCAGGCAGGTGGGTGGAAAGTGTGTGGAGATGGTCACCAGAGAGAACCCTAACTGGCCAGGTTGCCTGTGGCAGGTGTGTGTCCAGCTGTGTAGGTGTCTGAGCACGTGTGAGTGTCCAGCGGTGTGTGTTTGTCTCAGTACTTGTAAAGGCATGTGTGTGGCATAATCCGTTCCACTCCGGACGAGGCTCTTACTTGATTTGCACAACACTGGAGGACGGAACGAATGAGCTGCCCGCATCTTGAAGATCGAAATGACAAAGTTCTTTTGACAACTGAGGCGGCTTGGGCAAAACCACAGGACCTGTGTGGTTTCTGATATGACACAGCACTTCCCAAAAGTCCCCGGGAGGGCTGGGCAGCCTCCATCGTCTTCCTCTCAGCTCGCCCCACTTATCTCACCAGCCTGGGGGGTCGTGTCCCCTGCCAGGGTGGTGTTGGCCGCCAGCCCAGGTAGGGCGGCATGCAGGTGGCTGCTCGGCCCTTAGCTGAGGCGAGGCACGCTGTGGGTGCAGGCGGGGTGGGCTGGGCCCAGGCTTCTGCCGCGACTCCTCCCTGGTCTAGCTCCAGCCCTCAGGCCGCTGGTCGCCACCATCCCTGGGCTCAGATCATGATGAGCACCGGGAAGTGTTGGCTGGCGCAGCAAGAGACAGGGACAGGGAAGATCACACCTTCGTGCAGGCTCATCCCGGTGAGCCTGCAGCACGGAGCTGCCCCCTCAATCCCGGGGGGCTCGGCCTGGTGAGCCTGCAGCACGGACCTGCCCCCTCAATCCCGGGGGGCTCGGCCTGGTGAGCCTGCAGCACGGAGCTGCCCCCTCAATCCCGGGAGGCTCGACCTGGTGAGCCTGCAGCACGGACCTGCCCCCTCAATCCCGGGAGGCTCGACCCGGTGAGCCTGCAGCACGGAGCTGCCCCCTCAATCCCGGGGGGCCTGACAGCATGAGCCTGCAGTTCTCCCTCCGTCCGGTATGAGGTGAGTTAAGGGATGCGAGGAAGTAACCAAGGCTGTCTGTCCCCAGGTGCCCCTCTTCTCATCTGTCTCGTCTCCGTGCCGTCTGCCAGGGACAGTTACGGAACAAGTGACAAGTGAGTGAAGGCGCTTGCATCCTGGGCACCCCGGGGCTCCACAGTCACAGGGAAAGGGCACTGCATGGGCTGGCTGCTCTAACCCTGGCCTGGCATGGCAGGGTGGCGTGAGAACTGTCGCCGGTTGTGCCCCAGGCACTCCCCTGGCCTGGCACATGGCAGGGTGGCGTGAGAACTGTCGCCGGTTGTACCCCAGGCACTCCCCAGAAAGCAAGGCAGCTGGCGGGGTTTCACCTGTGAGGTTGTCCTGTGGAGTGACTTTTGCCCTTTCTGGGGGTGGCCAGCTGGTGCACAGTACCCAGTAGGTGAGTGAACATGTGCGTGTGAGATGCGTCCCTGGCAGGTGGGCCTTGAGTGCCCACTGCTTGGGCAGCAGATGGAAACTTGTAATGCCTGAGGCCTGAGCCGTTGTCCTAACCCTGCAGGTCCATGAGCCAGGCACTGAGCTGGGGCCGTGGGAACAGGCCGGCTACTTGGGGCCAGGAGCAGCACTTCTGTTCCTGGGGGAGGTGGTGCAAGCCCCAGCCAGGCTGGGATGCCCACAAATGGGGTGTGGGCAGGAGTGTCTGAGCAGAGGGGAGGCCAAGGTCTCCTGGACAGATGCGCAGCTTGGCAGCACGGGTGGCACAGCTGTCTGGCAGAGGTGCTGTGGGGAGTAGAGAGACACAGCTGTCGTCCATGCCTCCCTCTGCCGGCTGCTTGCAGGGGTCGGGGCTGCACTAAGAGAGCGTACCCTAAGCCCCCGGCCGTGCTTCGTGCTGGATGCTCCCTGGAGCCCACGGGCCGGAGGCTGCATGCATTGTATGTCTCAGCCATGTTGGAAGCCGCTCTCCTGCCTGTGTGTCCATAGCCAGGCTGCCTAGCCAGGCTCCAGGATGGGCAGCTGGAAGCCCTCCGCCCACTTCTGCACCTGGCCACCCCATCTCCGGGGGCCCGGGCTTGACAGCTGCTCCTGGCCCTGTGCAGGGAGTACAGTGGCCGAGGGGCCTCTCCAGTGCCAGGGTAGACCAGCCAGTGGTCAGGACAGCATGTCCCGAAGAGGTTTGGGCTCTGCCAGCACGGCCAGCTCCAGGAGCGTGGGCTGTGAGGGCACCGGCTCCTGCCTGGGGCTCAGGGTCCCGAGCCAAGGCCAGTCACCTGTTTTCCACCATGAAACTGAACCTGTGTGGGACTCAGGCCAGACTTTAGGGTGGCAGGCCCCTGGGAGCGTGTCAGGGAAGAGTGCTTGTTGGGCTTGGTTAGGGCTGTGCCTGGGGTGGAGGGCACGCCGTGGGGCGGAGGGCACGCTGTGGGGAGGAGGGCACGCTGTGGGGCGGAGGGCACACTGTGGGGAGGAGGGCACGCTGTGGGGAGGAGGGCACGCCGTGGGGAGGAGGGCACGCTGTGGGGAGGAGGGCACGCCGTGGGGCGGAGGGCATGCTGTGGGGAGGAGGGCACGCCGTGGGGCGGAGGGCACGCCATGGAGTCGGCCAAGAGTGCGTAACAGCTCTGCCTCTCTCCACAGCTGCTGGCTGTCGCTGGGGAGTGGCGCCATCTGGTCCTTTGTGGCTCCTGCCCTGCTGGTCATCGTGGTATGTTCCCTGCCCAGGAGCTTCCTAGCCTGGGAGAGGAGGGCCTGTTGTGAGCACGCTGGGCACCCTGCTTCTCTGGGTATTCAGAGGGCCTCAGGGCTGAGACTGGCCTGGGCTGCACCCGAGCAAGACCATCCCTGGCCATTCCCGGGCCATCCCCAGGCCATGTTTGGGGGCAGGACCATCTCCGGGCCATCTGCGGCCATTCCTAGCCATTCCTGGGCCTTGCTGGGGGCAGGACAATCCTTAGCCATCCCCAGGCCAAGCCCAGCCCAGTGTCTCTCCTGCTCCCGTGACAGTGCAAGGCCTGGCTGCACCCAGGGGCTCTGAACAAACTCCCTGGTTATTTGCAACAACAAGGTACCTGGGACAGGGGCCAGTGCCCAAGTGTCCCTTCTCCTGCAAGGGTCTGAAGGACTGGCAGAGCCAGACCTGGCCCAGTGAGAGGGCTGCTGACTCTGCCACCTGGCTGGCAGGAGCTGTGGAGATGAGATGTGTCAGCCGGCATCCAGGTGTGGGGGTGTCCTGGAGGCCCCCCAGGGGATGCTGTCCTGGTGAAGGCCTCACACACAGATGACAGATGGTAGGGCCAGCCAGGGGTCACTGGGCACCAACAGACCTGTGGGCTGAGCATCTGTGCTTGCCTGTGTCCAGCCTCTTGCCTGGAACTGACAGTGAGCTGTAAGTGACAGGAGGGCCCTGGCCAGGTGCGAGCTGGATCAGCAGTGGGTCATCTGGCCCACTCCTGCTCAGGACCCCGGAGGGGCCACAGGGCTCTAGGGTCTCTACCAGGAGCCCCCACCAGGGGACTAGCCATTCCTGGGCCTAGGGAGCCAGCACTGGGCAGCTGGTGGACGTGAGCCTTGAACTGCTTGGAGCCGGTCCCCGAGGGCTGGGCCGGGGTCCCGCAGAGGGGACGGGAGGAGGAGGCGAGATGTGTGTCCTTCCACTTCATCTGAGACTCCCACTTAGGAGAACCAGTGTCCCCACCGTCTTCTCCGGGAACAAGTCAGGTGTGTCAGTGGTGTCACCTGGCTGGGGACTGGGCCAGCCCCCTCACAGCCTCCGCTCCTCCCCAGATCAACGTTGGCATCCTTGTCGCAGTCACCAGGGTCATCTCACAGATCAGTTCCGACAACTACAAGCTACATGGAGACCCCAGTGCCTTCAGGTACGTTGTGGGAGCCATCAGTGGTGTTGGCCACACGGGGCACGTGCCTCCCGTGGCCAGGAGCTGTCAGCGGGGCTGGCCACCAGGGCCACCTGCAAGCCGCAGGGAGATGTGTGCCTCCCGTGACTATGACCAAGCCTTGACTTGCTCAGCATCCTCACGACCATGGCTCCTCCCCACTTAACTCCCTTAGGTCTCCGTGTCCCAGGACAAGGCCTGTGCAGCCTCAGGGACCCCACACAACAGGTGGTCTGCCTGGAGTTTAGGGGTCCCCTCTAGCTCCTGCGGAGCTCCCTGAGGTGCTGCAACTAGTCCACTGGGAGGGACAGGTGCTTGGGAGGAACCCACCCCCACAACCAGCTACTCCACGGCTTCCCTGCCCCACCTCCATCAGAGCCCTGCTGACAGCAAGTGACAGAAGCATACAGTGGGTGGGCGGCAGGGACACTAGGCACAGGTCACTGTGGGCCTGTGGCCCAGGGGTGCCTGGCTTCACAGTAGCCACAGCAGACCACCCCACCGCGCAGCAGACCACCCCACCGCGTCGTCTGCACTGTCACCCCACGTTGGCTCCTAGTGAGGTCATTGCTGACTGCCTGGTGGGAGGCTGGGGACAGCAGAGCTTCCTCCTGCTTGCCTGGGTCCTGCACCTGACACAAGATGCCACCCAGGGCCGGGCCTTGTCCCCCTGCCTCCCCCCAGCCCGGCAGAGGCCAGAGCCTCCCGGTCTCCCTGGTCCTGAGCTGATGTGGCGTGGGAGCGTGTCCCCCGTGGGTTTGTGACTCAGTGCTCGGCGCTCTCTCGGTTACTTCAGCTCCAGTTTATCTTCTCTAGTCCGGAAAGCAGGAACGGTAAACATGCCAGCAGCAAATCGATGAGATAATTATCCTGCAATGATCTCCAAACACCATAGATTCACTTGACAAGCGTGCCAGCCCTCCCGGCTCTGTCAGTCCCTGGAGTCCTTGGCAGCTGCGTCCTTGGACATAACAGGGCTGCTGGGGTCAGTGGCGCTGCCCCCACCCCACTGAGCCCTCACTCCTGTGCCCTGCACCTGTGGGTCATGCCTCTTCCTGCCCCCACGCCTGCACAGTGCCAGCCCCGGACCTACTGCTGTTCCCTCCTCTCTCACTGGAGCCCAGGTCGCAATGAAGAGGCTGGCACTGGGCAGTGTCGTGAGGGCCAAGAGGACATGCACCTGCCGAGAGCAGGACCGAGTCTGTGTGGGGCACTGCCCGTGGTGCCCTTCAGGGCTGCTGGTGACAGCCAGGAGACGGTGTCCCCTGGACAGGCTCTGGAGGTTCTCCCCTTGGAGTGTTCTGACCCTAGAGGCCCTTTCTCCCGGTGCAGCTGTAGGGCCCCGGGCTCAGCAGGAGGCAGCCCTCTGAGCAGCTTGTGATCTGGGGAGTGAGTGAGAGCATGCCAGTCTGGCACGGCTCCTCTGGGCAGCTCTGCCCAGGGCTCTGCAGACCTCGGGCCCCTGGACATCCATTTCCAAGTGTCCCCAGGCTAGTGGGCTGGTGGGTTCTGCTGTCCCATGGCACTTCCAGCCAGCACTGCTGAGGGCTGGACTGGGTGGTCAGCCAGGAGACCACAGCCAGCCTGCCTCCTGTGGCTCCTGCCTCTCCCGCCTCTGGGGGCTCTGCCTCCTCTGGGAAATGGACTTAGCACACAGTATGATGCTTCCTGCCAGTGCCTGGGAGGAGGGGGGTGGCACTCCCAGGATTCGGCTGGCACACATCACATGGTAAACCGGCGAGGTCCATCCGTCAGGGTTGCAGGTCAGATTGGCACTGCGAGCTAGGTGCAGGGCAGCTCCCGCTAAGGGAGCTCGCCTTAAGGCGTGTAGCGTGCAAAGATGCAGGCTGAGCCACGGGGGCCCATTGGTGGCTGCCCACCAGCCAAGGCTGAGCCATGAGGACCCACAGCCTGCCAGCCAAGGCCGAGCTACGGGGGCTGCCAGCCAGCCAAGGCTGGGCCGTGGGGACCCACAGCCTGCCAGCCAAGGCCGAGCTACGGGGGCCCACTGGCTGCTGCCAGCCAGCCAAGGCTGAGCCGTGGGGCCCACAGCCTGCCAGCCAAGGCCGAGCTACGGGGGCCCACTGGCTGCTGCCAGCCAGCCAAGGCTGAGCCGTGGGGGTCCACAGATACCTGGCGACTTGGCCTAGACCTCACAGCCCCTGTCCACCAGCCGCTGCCTGGCTGATCATCGCTGCTCCTCTTCCAGGCTGACAGCCAAAGCCGTGGCTGTGCTGCTGCCTATCCTGGGCACCTCGTGGGTCTTTGGGGTACTTGCCGTTAATGAGCAGACTGTGGTCTTCCAGTACATGTTTGCTGTCCTCAACTCACTGCAGGTAAGCTCTGCCAGGACTGTGTCGGCCCTTGGTCAGCAGGGCAGCAGGAGGCAGGCTCTGCTTGCTGGGACCCCCCAGGATGGAGGCTTTGGGGGCTTCTGGGGCCTCCAGCAGATACAAGCTGTAGGATCTGCACCTGTGGCTGCCTCATGCCTCTGGTCAGGATCTCAGGGGATGCACCGGTCTGCAGCCGCGGTCTACTGCACTGGGAAGCAGGGGCTTGCATGCTGCTCTCAGTCCCTAGGGAGAGAGTCACCAGGGAGTCCCTGGGGAGGCCACCTCCTAAGACCTCAGCCCTCACCCCGCTGGCCTTGCCGCCTGTCTGGATGGGACCAGGGCTCCTGTGTGCTGCTCCCTGGGAGCCTGTCCACACTGCTCGCCCTGTCTGGCCTCTCTGCCCTCTCCACTGTCCTCCGCCCAGGAGTAGGGCTAGTGAGAGAAGCATACCACATTGTCTGCTGGTGCTGTCACATCCCAGCGACCCCTGGACACTGCTGGCCATTGTCACCCTGGCTGATGGTGACAGGCTAACTCCTTGTCCTACTGCCTGCTCTCCTCCCCCCAAGTGGGGCCTTCCTAGGACCCCCATGTCTGCACCCAAATGTCCCAGTCCAGGTGCAGCTGTAGGCCTGGCCCTGGTGTGCCCAGCTGCCTTGCAGGACCACACAGCAGTCCTCCGGTCGCAGGCTGTGGGCACGGACACCAACAGCACGCCAGTAACTCCAGCTCTGTTCTCTTCCTTCGCCCCAGGGGTTTTTCATCTTCCTCTTCCATTGCCTGCTCAACTCAGAGGTAGGTCTGCTCTGCTGCCTGTTTCCCTTCTGAGAGGCTGTGGAGGGCTGAGCGGCCGTGCCTTCTCACCCCACAGTCTGGGAGTCAGACTCGGGACGAGGGATGAGCCCACGCCTGCGCTGCCAGCCCTTCTGGGTCTGGGATTCCATAATGTTGTCCCCATTCTGTGCCTTGAAGCTCTGCATCCGGTGACAGAGGGCAGAGCCCTGGGACTGTTGCAGTTCCAGCCTCTGAGATGACCGCTAACAACTCCTGCTTCTCTTCCAAGGTGAGAGCTGCCTTCAAGCACAAAATCAAGGTCTGGTCCTTGACTGGCAGCTCCAGTCGCAACGTTACCACAAAGCCCTTCAGTTCTGACAGTGTGAGTGTGGCGATGGACACCATGCCTGCAGCCCCTTCACTGTGGTGGGAACAGCGCCTGCAGCCCCCTACCCCACAGTGGGCACTGCGCCTGCAGCCCCCTACCCCACAGTGGGCACTGCGCCTGCAGCCCCTTCACTGTGGTGGGCACTGCGCCTGCTGTCCCTCCCTGACCCCAGGGCAGGGCGGGGTGGACTGACCTTGTTCTGAATGTCCAGCATCCTTGACCTGCACTGTGTTAGCTGCTCCCCCACCCCGTCTTCACTGAGCCCTGAGCCACGTGGTACTGCAGGCTCCCTACCCTGCCTTTGTGCTGTACTCAGCAGCTGCCCAGGGTTAGGGCTGTTACACTCCAGCTGATACCAGTCTGTGTGCCACAGTCGCTTGGGCTCACCTTGGCCCATGGCATTCTGGGTCCTGAGCGAGTCACCACAGCCTCTGCCCTACCCCGCTCCTGGGGTCAGCTCTTCTGTGCCAAGTTGGGGCAACAGAAGGACCAAGCAGCAGACACCGGCTGTGGCAGAGGGTCTCCTGTGAGGCCCAAGGACAGGGAGAGGGTCAGTGTGGAGAATTCTCTGGATCCTGCATGTGTCTGGGCCCCCTATGTCCCAGAGGCAGGGGCCTCCCAGCTGCATCATGGCTGGGGGGACGGGTCATCACATAGGGCTTGGGGCTCCCCAGGAGCAGTCCACAGTCCTCACTTCTCTTTGGTTTGCAGATGAATGGGACCCGGCCAGGAATGGGCTCCAGCAAGCTGAGCCCTTGGGACAAGAGCAGCGAGTCTGCCCACCGTGTGGACCTGTCCGCCGTATGAGGGGAAGACTGCTGACCAGGCCAGCCTGCTGCCCGGAACACACGTCAACCCCCAGACAGAATAGAGCAAGTGCCCTGCCCTCACCCTCGCCACCAGGACCTGGGGATCACAGCCCCACAGTGACTGTGACAGAGCCCTGTGGTCAGCCACAGTGGCCTGCTGCCCAAGCTGGTGGGGGCTCCTTGCCTTGGCTGGCCTGTGTGCCAACCAGCCTCAGTGTGGGCTCCCAGCACAGGCCGCTGGCGATGGTGCTGTGGCCCCCCTCCAACATGCCATGCACAGCACCAGGTCCAGCAGGGCCATGGGGAGGGAACCGTGGGCCCCCTACCTCGATGGGGACTTGGAACATAGAAGGTGGGGTCCTGCCTGGCGGCTGAGGTCCCACACACTCCAGCTGCTAGACGGAGTGTGGACAATGTTTTTGCCTGCTGAGTTTACCCAAGGAACCTCCCAAAGCTAGCCCTGACCAGTGCATGCTTCCTGGACGGGCCTCAGGCCCATGTGCTCCAGGTGTGGTCAGCCCAGGGCTTCTGTCCATGCTGAGGGCTGGAGCTCCAGCTGTTGCCCTGCTCCTGCCCTAGGGCCTTCTAAGAGCCTGCTGGAGCCAAAGAACTATGCTTTGTGAGTTGTAATCCTTTGGAGCCAGGGTCCCCTTGCCACGTCCCCTGCCCATGCTGCTCCCCTGGGGAGTAGTCTGTTCCAGGTAGGACCCCCTAGGTCTCAACACTGGTGCCTCCCTCCCTTGCCTCCACATCCCTGCGCCGGCTGCCTACTTGCCACGTGGCACATCCTGGCAGGTCCCAGCTGTGGAGCTGGCCACAACTGGGGCTCCTGTGTGGATGCTCATTCACAGACTTGGGCTCTGTCCTGCAAGAAATGGAGCAATTGTTTGAACTCCGCAAGTGGGCCATCCTGTGGGAGCCTAGGTTTGGAATCATAGATGTGAATCAAAATGCTCTGGAGACTTGGCAGTGGGCCACAAGCTCACTGTGATGTGGACACGGGCTTGGCAAGCATATGGCCACAAGGTCACTGTGTGATGTGGACACGGGCTTGGCAAGCATATGGCCACAAGGCCACTGTGCGATGTGGACACGGGCTTGGCAAGCATATGGCCACAAGGCCACTGTGCGATGTGGACACGGGCTTGGCAAGCATGTGGCCACAAGGCCACTGTGTGATGTGGACACGGGCTTGGCAAGCATGTGGCCACATGGCCACTGTGTGATGTGGACACGGGCTTGGCAAGCATGTGGCCACAAGGCCACTGTGCGATGTGGACACGGGCTTGGCAAGCATGTGGCCACACGGCCACTGTGTGATGTGGGCACGGGCTTGGCAAGCATGTGGCCACACGGCCACCCTGTGATGTGGGCACGGGCTTGGCAAGCGTGTGGCCACACGGCCACCCTGTGATGTGGACACGGGCTTGGCAAGCATGTGGCCACACGGCCACCCTGTGATGTGGGCACGGGCTTGGCAAGCGTGTGGCCAGGCCTGTCAGATACTGGAAAATCTTCCTGTAACACTGTGAGAGCATTGTGCCAACTGCCTTGTTTCACGGCCAGTTTCGCCCTGGCTGTGTGGACTGTCTCCACCTCCGTCAATGACGGCTTCACACTGTGACTCTCCGTCAGCCACTGGACTGCACCTGCCACCTCCAGCCGCCCCCGCCACAAGGAGCGGCTGGGTTCTCCCCGAGTGCGCCTCACCGTGGTGTCACCTGCCTTCCCGCAGCCCCCTGTGGCCAGGGTCAGCTCCTTGCTGTCAGGGAGCACGGAGGCATAAGGACACTGTTTTCTTAAGCTTGACGCTAGGATTTTGTTTCTATCGAGGATGGAATGGTCTTCTGTTTGGGCTAGAATTCTTTGTTTCCTCACTCAGCTTAGACACTCCATATCGTTAATATATCAAGGGAGGCAACAAACAAAAGCTGTCTAAAGCCTCCATTTCCCAGGAGTGAAAATAGTGCACTTCATGTGTGGGCTTCTCCTCATCTTTATCATCTGTACATTATTTCTCCAAAAATAAGAAATTGGAACAAATCATGCACGTGAGGTAGTTTATAGCACAGAAATGGTGATGAATGCCACTACGTAGTGAAAATACGTCGTGGTTTTTATGAAATAAAACCTCGATGTCCTTCAAGTGTGCACTGTAAAATCTGTTGCTAGAGGAATGAGAGGCGAACTGAGTCTTCTGAGAAAACCCAGTGGGGACGTGAGCACGCTCCATGCTGGGGCCCCTCCGGCTGCTCTGCTCACACGTGGGAGCCCCGTCGCGGGCTGTCACAGCAGCAGGGCCAGCTGGCAGGCTGGGAGGACGGAAGGAGCAGAGGACTTTGACCGGTCCCTCTCCTCAACCAGAGGCTGCACAGCGCCTTCCTGATGCGTCAGCCACCCTCCTGCGGGGAGGCCCTGCCAGGCGGGGGCCGCAGACAGCATTCCCGGGTCTGGCTTCACGGCTGTGCCTCAGGGAGGCCCTGCGGCCTGGCAGTGCCATTTGCTCCTTGGGGTGCCATTCCAGCCTGAGATGCCCAGGACTGTTCTGGCATCTCTACCTCGGACCCAGCTTCCCACGGATGTGCCTGAGCCAAGTCCTCGGGTCCCTGCCACCCATGTGGGTGGCCTTCGGCATGTACCTTTTCCATGAACGTTTTAGAGAACTTCACATATTTTTTTCACAATTATAATATTTGGAACACATTCGATTGGTATTTTATAGAAACCTTGTATTTTACAATTAGATTTTTCTATTTATCAACAAATGTATTCCCTGTATAAGCAGTTTGCCTATGTGCATCTAAGTAGATGGACAGACATTCATGTCTTCACTCTGACAGGGCTTGCTTTGCTCCCGATACAGGTTGAAACCTTCCCCTGCAGGGAAAGGGAGCGGCCATCCCGTGGCTCTTGGATCTTTCGCCAGGATGAGGCCACTCTCCAGCCACTTCACGGTGAGTGCTTCCTCACACCCTCATCGCTCAGAGACCCTTCCAGACGGGAGCAGCGGCTGCGTTGGCATGACTGCTCGGAGTGTGTATCGAAGTCCCGTGAGGGTGCACAACTCCTCATGTCTGCGTTTTCCCAAGGCACATAAGGAACAGTTCCGCCTGTCGGTGCCACTTTCTCAGTCTCCTGGCTGGATGTGAAATGGGCTTTGCTGGGCAGGGAGACAATGTCCTCCGTGTCTGGGACCAGGAGGGTGCAGAACTGGTGGCTTCTGCTCCCAGACTCTCAGCAGAGCAGCCCTGAGCAGTGCTGGGTGCTGCCCTGTCCATGGCAAGCCCCAGCCCTCCTCTTATGCCCAGGCACACCCACCCCTCTATCGCCCTTTCACCTGTGCCCCAGCATGGAAGCATGCCTTTCCCATGAGGACCCCAAGCACGAGTGGGCATGAGCGTGGAAGGGGCTGGGGTGACCCCAGGGTCTCCTCCCAAGCTTTGTGCGGGGTGACTATGGTCCCCTGTGCAGACTGGATGCAATATTATTTCCCTCCTATTCCAACAGCTCGAGTGTGAGATGGGCAGTGTGGCCCAGCCAGGCGCCTGCTCTTAGTCATGCCTGCCTAGTCTTCATCCGTTCTCTGCTTTTTAGCCTTTATTCCACTTTGTGCTAGCACGTTCTGCGTCTGAAAGGCTTATTATTAGAAACATCTTCAAATTCAGCTTCTGGCGGGGAGCTGACCTCCATCCCCATGATGTGACGTATTTGTAACTCCGTGTGCTCTGTCCCGTCCGGTTCGCTGTGCCGTCCAGGCTGTGATCTGCAGCAGTTCCAGGCCCCCTCCGTCAGCGCCCTGACATGCGCCCGTTTTACAGTTTCTGTCACTTACCGGCGTATTTTATTCTGTTTAATATTTAAAGAAAGAAATCTCACAGTTCTCTTTTCTATCATCACACAAGCAGTCCATGGACGGTCCATCCTTCTGTGTAGTGTGGGAGCCGTCCTTTTGTCCAGTCCATCACTGTCACCTCTCCTTGGTGCTTTGGAACATTTTGTAAATCGACTGTCATTTACCACACTTCTATTTTTTTCAGGGTCAGTTCGCTATCATTTCAACCAAGGATACTATGTTTAGGCAGCTGAGGTTGCCATTTGATCGCACTGCACAAGTTACACGATGGAACGTGTCCTTTGGACTCCCTGCGAGGCCAACCACCGCCTGGCGCCTTGTCTCCTCCGGTTGCAGGTGCTGCAGCTCCCACTGCTAGGTGTGTTGTTTTTCTCACTGTGAATTTACTTTTGAGAACAGGATGGAATTTTTCAAATCCGAGGGGCTTTCCCTTTGGTTGGGGTCTCACTCTGGCCTCCATATGTTGATGAGTCATTCCCAACTGTGGTGGGTCACAAAGTGATATTGGTTTTTTTTAACAACGCACATCTAAGCATTGTCTAGACTGTGACGAATGCATCCCATACAGCCTGTGCTTTACATGTAGCAACCAAGCAGCACAGGTAGGAAGCACCCACACAGCCATGTCAGTAGCTCAACCTTGTGCATTTCCAATGGCCATTAGACATGCAGTGTCCATTCCTGGAGGGAGGGGAGTCCATCAGCCTCGCATGGGCGGGGAGTTGGGGCCCACTCACGGGAGCAGCTACAGCCAGTTGGTAGGCAGCCAAGACTGTGGCTGCTTGTCAGTCCCATTACTGACCCGACAGCTGTGACTGCCCGAACTCATGGATGGGGTTGTGCTCAGCTCTTCATGTCTTTTTTTAATAAGTAAATCTTATTTTCTTTTTATAAAAACTTATTTTACCCTAAAGGCAGATTTACAGAGAGAAGAGACGCAGAGAAAGATCTACCAGCTGCTGGTTCACTCCCCGAGCGGCAGTGGCCAGAGCCAAGATGATCCGAAGCCAGGAGCCAGAAACTTCTGGGTCTCCCAGGCGGGTGCAGGGTCCCATGGTTTGGACCATCCTCTGCTGCTTTCTCGGGCCACAAGCAGGGCGCTGGATGGGGCATCTGGGACATGAACCGGCATCTATATGGGATCC